TGCGCACTAGAACAATCCGAGAAGATGATTTTCATTGTCCTCATCTGTCCGTGGTCTTATTTCCGCCCACTTCTCATCACAAACCCGAGTTGATCGCTGGCAAATTATTCTATTCCTTCCCATCTCTCTGACACGACCAACAACGTTTCTCTCTGAGCATCTCTACTATGTACTAGCAGGTCTAAACCTCTTCTGTTCAGAGAGCTTTAGTCCCAAATTAGAGTGGTCACCCACACGCACCAAAAAAAGCCAGTACCAGCGTCGTAACACAATATTGAAGCCTATTTCAAAATTACAACAAAACAATGGACGATCTGGGAATCGAACCCAGGACCTACCGCATGCTAAGCGGTCATTATACCACTAAACCAATCGCCCAGTTGGATGATCTAGCCCGGACTTGAACCGGAGACCTTCAGTGAACAGTGAGATGATCGTGTGACCAATTCGAAATGTTAGACTGACGTGATAACCAACTACACCACCAGACCATATGAGGTTGTTGAAGATGTTGGCGGGAAATTGTTCTAGTGTGGTTGCAATGGAGGCGCGATGAGCCCTGGTGGAGTTGATAGCTCGACTTGCAGACGGAGCTCCGCACGGGAGACCACCGAGTCCACAGGTGCCGGCCCGGCATTCAATACCTAGTCCGAACGGATAGCGCCGGCTGGAGAAAGCCTTTGCAGTGTAGTGTAACGATAGGCTGTGAAGAATCCCCCTTCGCTCTCTTGTCCGGGTGTTTAAGTTCTCTTTCCTGCTTCTCGCCGAGTTCCAGAGGAGCCAGCGAAACGTATGCCAGTCGGTACCAGCTGAACATCCAGCTCCCTGATTATCTAAGCAAATGCCATGGGGTCGCTCTTTCGGCGTTTCGCGCTCTCAGCCCGCCGGCCTATCACGCAACTTTCAGAAGTGAACCACCGAATCTCATCAGTTCATCTTACCTTTCGCTCGCATCTCACGGCTCCAATGTCCAGCGCTCAAGCAAACGAGACAACGTCGCTCTTGCCATCGCGAACCAATCACTACGACACTACCGCCGAAGAAGAAGAGACAATGAGCAGCCAGGCCTTTTGGAGAGTCGGAGCAATCTTCGGCGCCACCGCCGTCGGCCTCGGAGCCTTCGGAGCCCACGGCCTGAAGAACCGTATCTCTGATCCCGCAAAGATTGCCAGCTGGTCCACCGCCGCTCACTACCAGGTGAGTTGCTCTCGCATTGCCTCACCTAACCTACACCATTGATCAGTAGCTTACCTTGGAAAATCCGTTAGCTTGTCCACTCTGTTGCCATTCTCATCGCCCGATCCAACCCCATCGCCGCCGGTCTTTTCACGGCGGGCGCGACCATGTTCAGCGGTAGCATCTACGCACTCATCCTCAACCCCGACCTCAAGTTCCTCGGCCCCGTCACCCCGATTGGTGGTCTTGCCCTGATTGCTGGCTGGCTTGCTTTGGCTTTCACAAAGGGCCGCGTTCGATTCTGAGCCTGAGCGCTAGTAAATGAGACCAGGTCCATTACCGTGCACTCATTCTTCATCGCCCACAGAGAGGCAACGAACTTCATTTATGTACTACTACCTGTATCATAGACACCTCAGCTACTGCGCGCCCTTTGAATGAACACCCACTCTTCCAGACACCTGGCCGTCACCATGTCTGTTACAAACTTTCCTTACTCTAAGGATGGCCGAGGTGGGTCCACCTGCCTTTCGTGGATCACGTCTATGTCAGCTACGAGCCTCTCTCGTATAGAGATTCCAACAGAATGTAAACGGGTGCGAAGACCATCGATCGTTCATGCATGGTTGCTGGGCGCCCTTGCATGGAGAGGGGTGCTGTCAGCTTACCATAACTCATCGGACCAAGAGCCGCGGGGGTAATACCGCGTCACTGTCAGCCCTACGTGATATCAAGGACAGGCTGTGTCTCACTTTGAACAAGGAGGAACTTTCGTTCAGCTCTCGCTAGGCGTCTGACTAAAGTGAGTTGGATAAATCATACCCAAAGCAGTCTCACGAGGTTGATTCTCGGCATAGGTGCCTTTCTACATCGAGCATACCTGACATTCAACCCTGCTGAACGAGGAGGCTTAGGCATGGGCAATTGGCTAATCGTACTCAGGTGATATTTTCCGCCACCAAAATGGTAATTTGTGGATGATGGGGTCCGAGAAAGGGATCAGATATGTCCCGTTTGGTCTCAATGGCACTCACCTTGCTGAGGAAGGGATCAGCATTTGACAAAGTCGCCTCTCAATCAAACAACCTTCAAAATGTATAAGAAGGCGTAGAAATGAGAAGACCTAAAACGATGGCCACAAAAGCCATCTTTCTCAGCTCATCCTCAATTTCTCTCCCTCAGAAGCAACAAACATGACCAATCATCAAACCTCACGCCCCAAGACCATGCGTGCCGTGGTCTGGGAAGGCAAACCCTATGAGATGGCTGTCAAAGCGGACATTCCGGTTCCACATCTCAAGGAGCCCGAAGACGCCATTGTCCGCATCACCACATCCGCCATCTGCGGCACCGACTTACACGTCTACCATGGCATTATGTCCAGCGCCGAGGTACCCTACCCCGTAGGCCATGAGGCCATGGGAATTGTCGAGGAAGTAGGCGACGCCGTCGACAATCTGCAAGTCGGTGATCGCGTTGTCGTCTTCGGTCTGCCCGAGGACGGCGTCATCGACACTGACAACCAGATCTTCCCTCAGCTCGCTGGATTTGGTCTTGGCAAAGATTTTGGCGACCTAGGAGGTCTTCAAGGTGAATATTTGTCATCAATCACTACAAGTATTACTCGGAAAACAGAAGAGAAAGCTGACCTTACCCTAGCCGAGTACGTCCGGGTACCCTTCGCAGACAGCTCCCTCATTAAGATCCCCAAGAAGCTTTCCGACAAGGAGTGGCTCTTTCTCAGCGACATCTTCCCCACCGCATGGGAAGGACTAAGCTGGTCGGGCTTCCAGCCAGGTGACTCCGTCGCTGTCTTTGGCGGCGGTCCCGTAGGCCTGCTCTGCGCCTACAGCGCCATCATCCGCGGCGCGAGTCTCGTCTACGTCGTAGACCACGTCCCCCAGCGTCTCGCCAAAGCCGCCAGCATCGGCGCCGTCCCCATCAACTTCACAAGGGGTGGCGCCTCGGCCTCAGAGCAGATCCTAGCCCTCAGGCCCGGCGGTGTGAACCGTAGCGTCGACTGCTGCGGTCAGGAGTGCGTCAATGCCGAGTTGAAGCCGCAGCAGGACTACATCCTGCGTGAGGCCATCGCTGTCACATCTGTCGGCGGCGGAATCGGGATCCCGGGTGTCTACTGGGCTCAAGAGAAAAGTGCAGGTGCACCTAACGCGGAGAGGATGAAGAAGAACCTAAGTCTGCCGATGAGTGACTTTTGGATCAAGGCTCTCACGATGAAGAGTGGCACAGTTCAGGGGCAGCCGACATTTGCTGCGCTGGTGAAACTGGTTGAGAGCGGACAAGCGAGACCTGGTTTTATTGCTACGGCGGAATATGACCTCGACGATGCTCCCAAGGCGTACAAGAGGTTTGATAAGAGGCTTGAGGTCAAGGTCTTGTTCCGCGGCGCTGGCAAGGAGGGAAGAGACGACTACGAGTGGGACGAGGAGGTGGAGTCGAAGAATCTCAGTGAGGAGGGAGCCGGAACTCGGTGAGCATTCTATCTAAACAGAGTGTGAAAGCGGATCTAATGAAAAGATAGATCGTCCGGGAGGTCCAAGAGAGCTAGACTACATTGAATGTAGCCTCCCTCCGACGAGCTGAGTTGGCTCGGTGGAAGCTATTGGGGAGTTCCATGTATTTCTCATTGCTGATGTAACATAACATCATCTGGGAAAGACACTGGGGGTTCGTGCGGGTCACTTGACGAACTACAATCAAAAACACGTTTCGGTATTGGTTACAGCCCCTTATCGGTAGCTGGTCTCCTCAATCTTCAAAGCGGCTGTGAAGATTAAGAGCTCAGAGAGCATGTCCGAAGGAGGACTTTCTACAAAGACCACGCTTTGCGCGAGGCGAGAGGAAGATGTGGCAGACTCCTCTATATCCGCAGCCTGTTCTGTCTCCGCTGCAGAATGACACTGGAGTACTTGGTTCTCGGGTGGAATGTTGACTCCGAAAACCTAGTTATGTATCATATCCTACGCGAAGGGAAGCTTACTCTTTGCCCACACCACGAACAGTCTCTGGGGAATATATCTGGGGAGGTATCTATAAAAATGCTGTACTCGGGTGACTATTATATTCAACTACTTGAATGTCAGATCTGCGCCCCTGTACTCAAGACTGGTGGCGAATAGCCCCGGGTATTTACACGATCCCTGGGTCCTGGTCGCACATTTTCACCAAATGCTTTCAGCCACCTTCAATGGTAGCACGACGGAAACTTCCGATCTATAAGATCAGTTGAGGAGAGGTGCTCACCAAAGAGCGTCTTCTGCAATCTCTGCGTGAGCTACAGCCGCTCAGCCATTTGTTATGCCCTCACGTGGCTTTCGATGATCCCTTGCTCATGCGGCCCTTCGAACGAGGATACTGTATCTGCTTCCAAAACCCATCCGACGCGGGCAGAGTTTGGCACTGGCACAAGCCAGAGATCTTTAAAGCTTGCAGGTGCTACGCGTGTCGTAATCATTCCAAGCCCGATTTGATGGGCAGATTCATGGCCGGCGGCAATGGCTGTGAACATCTCGTCACATGCCCATGCTGCCCAACGATTTATGAATGAATTTTGGATGGGCGTCAAGTCTTATTGCATAAGAAGCAGTTCTTTTTAGATACTTTCCTTTTGGAGATCAGCAAAAATCATTTCGGAATCCAACCAAAGCTTGATCAATTGAGTCTTCAGAATTGGATCAGGTGTCTTGACCCTGAGACGTTCCATGGCGATGAAGCCTCACGGTTTGAGTTGTTTTGTGCACGGGAAAGATGCTCGAACGCTGTGCCAGAGAAGTGGAAACGGGACGGAATATTTCGGGACAGTAGCACGGACTACACGCAGGAAAAGAATTAAATGTGCATGGTATGAACTGACTTACTCTATTTCTCATGCAACTTCAACGCACGCCAAACAAACAGCCCCCTGAACTACATGTACATTTCTGACCGTTCAACTAAAGGCGGGCTTCTGATCAGCGCCCTTGACGTCGACCAAGTACGAAACCCGATCCTTGCAGTAAAACTCAACAGCAGGCTTTCCCTCCAAGCTCGCCTTTCCCTCGTCGAGTCCACCAGCCTTGACACACGTGACGTCGGCCATTAAGTCCAGCTCGGTGTACAGGCTAGACCCGCAGTTGGAGCAGAAGAAGTGCCTGTTGTTCTTGCCCGAGTCACCAGTGATGTCGTAGAACTTGGGCTCACCTAGATTCTCACGTTTGAGTGCATGTTCGGAGAAGAATTGGGAGGAAGAGATGTTATACCTTGAGTGACCTTGAAAGATGCACGGGGGACAACGGCGTTGGAGGTGAAGGCCGAACCACTCCACTGCGTTTGATCAGCGATTAACTCGATGAGAGTTATATTGTTGGGCCTTACCTTTTGGCAATCTGTACAATGGCACAGCGCGGTGACTTGAGGGTCCTCTGCTTCTTATCAGCTTGGTTCACAAGCTGTCGCAATTATCTAGTTCAGCTTACCAGCACTCTCGTACTTGATCGCCTTGCACATGCAGCTTCCCTTCAGACCCATTTTGTGCAATTAAGTATGGAAATACTAATCAGTAAACAAGTGATCAGAGTGTAGAAACAAGGTGTAAAAGACGTAGCGAAATAGAGATGTTTGGAATAGGCTGACTTTATCCATTTGGGATGAGGGGGAACGTACAGTACAGACGTCCGATCGCCATTTTTATACGTGTTTGAGAGTTTCGGCTAGCGTTAGTGCCGGCAACAAGGAAGCTGGGCTTCTCCTCTTACTCCTCCTCCCTGTCTGTCATGATAGATGTGCGGGGTTAGTTTGCTGGTTAAGGTAAGCACGGTAAGGTAATAGGCGCCGTGGGGATATGGAAATGTATAGACCCTTTTCTTTTGATCGACGTTTGCTAACTTGCTCCATGTGTCGGCCTCTTGATTAGATCTCCGCGGGGTCGTTGGGTCATTGGGCGAATCAAAGCACTCAGGATTTCTCCAGTTTGCCTGGTTTGCTGACAGAGCGCCGCGGGATGCGGAAATGACGTTGTCAATGCAAGGGCGCAAAAGATCCAGGTATTCACCCTGGATCTGGTCTGCCCACCAAAGGTTACCAGAACCTGGAATTTTGCTGCTGCAGAACTACTGGTTTGCTCTGATAATCAATCACTGGATGAAGCAGAATGTGGTGGCGCTGGGGCTAGAGGGCCGGCGCAGTGCCAAGAACTATCGGTGTTCTCTTTGTCAACCCCCAACTCCAGTGTGCGGAAGTCAAACATCCGCAATTGCGATAGCAGTTTTTGGAGTGGGCGAAAAAGATAAGCAGAGAGCCAAGCGAGCAAGTGGGTGACAAAATAGGAATCGGGATATCTGTCATCGCACGGCTAGCTGCTTTCTTATCACCACTATCATTATTGTGAACAGCATGCCACGCTTTCTAAAGGGTATTTTGCAAGGAATACGTAGCAAATAAAATGAATGATAACAGTAGCAGCAGTAATAGTAACAATATTAGTGATGATCACAAATAGGTAGGAGAACTAAAGGAAAGGTATGGAGCGGCAGATTATGGCATCACCCACTTGGCAAATCACAAGAGAAAACTCGGGGAAACTGATTTCATCCTTAACTGTAGTAAGGTAACTAACTAGCAGTACTACTAGGTGATGCGCCTTTTGTGCAACACGGCAAGTTCAAGCCCGATGTCCTGTAAGATGCCGTAGAGTTTCTAACTTCGTCGCTGAAGCGCGACGAGGAAACGACATTTCTTAGTCCTTCAACCCTGGCGGAAGAAGCTGGAACCCATAGCGTTTTCTGCATGTGTTCAGCCCGGGCAGCCAACCTTGCTGGGGGCTTTTTGGCTGACTTGTCGATGATTAACCGATCTATGTCCCCAACGGATTCTTGGAGAGGACATCGAAGGTAAGAACCTCACTCGTGCCGGATATGATACGTAGACCAAGGGCCGTTGACTGTCGAGGTTGGCCCCAAGCGTGATGTGAAGGTCTAAGTGGTATTGCTGGACCACTTCTCGATGACTTTTCTGATAACGGCGCTTCCTGGCAGACAATCCCTTCAACTACAGCTAACGTCGTAACGTCGTTTTTTGGACAGGCTTTGGGGTTCATCATTCCAAAAGCGCGGCCCCCGAGAGAATATAGGTGGACGATTCGACAAGGCGTCGGCGTGATGCCTCACTAACAGAGGTGAGAAGACTTAAGCGCTCAATAGATTTCTCCATTTTGATGTTGGGTTGAGTGGGATTTTCTCGAGTGACAGTCTCTAGAGAAAGACTGGAGACGGATGTAGTGACGCCATTTAGCAGTTGAGAGGATATATTCCCCCATTACTGTGGTACCGGCGTCATGATGGTTTATGGAGTTAAGTTCTCTAGGCGCCTTGTTATCGAGGAAACCAAGATTCAATTTCTTGTCAGCCATAAGTACGAAAATACAACTAAGATCCTTATACAACATGCTATGATATTGGCTCACAAATGGTACCTCAAGGTCAAACTCCGTACTCAAACAGCCCACGTCTATCTCCGTCATCCTGATCTTTCATCCGCTGTGATTTTCTACGAGAACAAGGACCAGGGCCGAAACCTCAAGGGATTGTACGACCCAGACCTCATCGCACCAAAAATATTTACCCATGCTGGATATCAAATCGACCCGCGCGTCCATGTCCAAAAATTCGCATCAGAAGCAAATCCAATAGCGGGTATGAAGTGAAATAATAGGCTCGTAATTATGGATGTAAAATGTATCACCCGTGGTATCTTTTCCGTCCAGTCATTACAAATACAGGCCCCTGATTCAGAGGGCGTAATTCTCAGTATGCAAGTAAATCTCCTCGAGCATATCGTCACCCCATATCGCTGCCTGAAGCCGGGCGACCGTGTTGGCTACACCAACACGCATGGCCGGAGGCCCACACACAAACACCGCCGTCCGCCTGCCGAGGATGCCTCTTCCATCAGCACCACCCGTCGCCCATTCTTTCAACATGTATCCCAAGTCCGGCCGGCCGTACTCGACGCTCCAGCCACCGTCGATCTGATGGGGCACAGGGAAGGCAAATCGCATCAGACTCTTTTGAAACTCCGTTGGCGTCTCCGGGAAGCCAAAGTCAAAGCCTGAAGGCGGGCCGAATGTGCTGGTGGGTCGGGTTTGACCTGCGCTCGGGAGGTTGGTGGTTCTCAAATGAGCCAGCTCGGGAGGTCGTATTGGCACATCTGAGTTTCGCGGGCTGGTGTCGGGGACCTTCCTTGGGGAGGCAGGAGCGTAATTAAAGTGCGGCACTTCGCCTTTGGTGTTGATGGGAGGAAAATGGAACTCGCGCTTTTTGGAATCTCTATCTTCTTCGTCGTCGTCGTCGTATTCGCGACCCTCGAGCTTGCGTAATGACTCTTCCTGGGCAGAGAAGCGATTAGAGAGCGGCGGTCCTGGGGGTGGAGGAGGATATTGATGGGGTTGTAAATATTTCTGTTGCGGCAGGGCGGTGATTCTATCCTCCTGCTCGGCGCGGAGTTCCTGCTCTCGGTCAGGATCACCTTGAGCAACAGACTGTATGAGAGCTGAATTGCGCTTGGAAGCGATCCCTGCCACGAAGCCATCCAGTTTGTCATGAAACATGTGACTCAGGGCCCTTGGAGCAGGACGTTCGTGACCTTCCATCATCATGGCCCGGTTGCGTACTGCTGAAGTGACGAAGAACTTGCAAGTCACGCTTTCTGGCGGTGCAGACTCGCGACAGATTCTGAGCTCTTCACGGAACCAGTCCATGGCCTCAAGACGTTTGAGGGCCCAAACCACTACCACCTTCCGCGTAATGGCTTTTCCATCACGCATGCGCTTGATTAAGTTGAGTAATTGCGACATCAATGCAGTAATACCGCTCCCGCCTGCAATTAGAATGCAGGTGTCGAAGGCTGCGAGATCTCTTCGCATGCCACCGTAGGGCCCGTCCAAAAAGGCGCGATATGTGTGGAATGGCCCTTTCTCGATAGCCATGTCGAGGACCTTTCGCGTGAAGCCACCATAAGGCTTGAAAACCAGCACGCAATCACGGTACTGCTCGCCGTACTCGGAAGGGAAATCCTCACTGCAAAGCGATGAGATGGTGAAAGGATGATTGTCGAAGAAGGCGACTCCTGGCATGCGGAGGTAAACATATTGGCCAGGCTTCCACCTCATCTGTGTTGGAATCGTAATCTTGATGGCGTTCTCAGCGAGGAGGCTAATGGCTGCTTCGTCACCGACCATGAAGCTCAAACGCCATGGTCTTGTCCAGTTGAGATTGATGAGGCGAATGGCATAACAGAGTACCCAGATCCCGACTGTTGCCCAGAGATAGTCCCAAGAAGCAAGGTAATTCTTGGTGTGCCAAAACAAGAGCCCAACATACACCATGCCAACAGGCACATGCAGCATGACAAAGAGCTCGTATGCGATTCGGCGGATGAAGGGCAGAGATGCGACGCAAAGCCAGACGAGAGGCACAAGACAGGCTATACCAGTACCGTAGATGACGCCGCTGCCGCCAGGGAATAGACGGGAGAACACATCCATGCCGCCGTCATCCCACACCGGTTGAACATAAAATGGGATGGTGTGTACGAGCGACAGAAACAGACAGAGGTAACCTGCCCACCTATGGAAGACATTGAGGCGCTCCGGTCCAATGCCAATAAGGATGGACAACACATTTGCCTTCATGCTGGTGACGATGATCCAAGGTGTCAGGGCGACAGCGATCATTCCGGCTCGAATAGCAACGGGTGGTGAACCGAATTGAATACTCTGCCAGTATAGCGGTTGCTGGAGAAAGCAGTAAAGCGCCACGAAAGCCAAGGCGATGAGACCGCAGGTAACTACGGCGAGCGAGGAGAATGTGAATCGGTGGCTTCCCCAAACAAAGTCGGGAATTGGCCGGTAAAAGACCCAGCGGAAGAGGGCCAAGGTATCGTTGACGAAGCCAACCGAGGAGAAGTGAGCCCTAGGTTTGAATTGCTTCTCACCCAGCCCTTCAGAGTCGGGGAAGAAATGTTGTGCTTGTCCTGTATGTACGGCGTGCGCGTAGTCGGGATCAGTGTTGTAGAGGTTGGCATAGTATTCCTCCACTTCCTGCTTGTAGATAGCTTGGCGGATTTTGTCCTGCCAAAAGTGCCAAGATCGCATCAACAGAACTGTTCCCATGAGGGCCAGCGCAAAGTAAGTCCAACCCATTCCATATTTTCCAGACTTGGCCCAAGGATCTACTGTCAAGGCCTCAATTAAGCCGGGCGGGCTGTCGGGTTTGGGGGTGATGGCGATCCGCTTAGCTAGTTGCGCTGCCGTTTTGGTGGCAGCATCTGCCAGGTCACGGATACGAGTAGCCATTGCTCCAAGGCGATGAAGTCCGATTTATGCTGCGCGATAAGGCGACTGCGCGCGGAGGTGGACAGTTATGTCGACATACGGTGCAGTTTAAGAAAATTGAATGGCTGAGAGTCGTCGAGATAGCAAGATACCTGCGCCTCGCTGGTCGGTTGATTGTTGTGCCAGCTTACGAGGCTCGGATTGTTGCGCAATGTGCCCCAGATACCTTGGAAGCGGGGCCAAAAGGAGTAGGTTCGATAAAATGTGATGCTATGCTTTGGCGGAGTAACGAGTGACCGGTAAGAAGACAAACGAGAGCGCGGCAAAGCGCGGGTTGGGGGCGCCACCAGGGGATATATGGAGGTGAGATCGGAGACGCTCCGAGGCGGATAGGTCCCAGTGGTTTGATTCTGGGGTGTGGGCAGCGTGATGAGCACACCTCAGTTATCGACAGTCTCGTCACGTTGCCTACAGATTCGGTCGGGAAGCGGATTCAGTTGAGCGTGGTGACATGTGTAAAGATGGAGGATATGTGATAGGGCGGCGAATTTTCCATGTGGAGGGGGTCGGATGGGCTGCGGCCTCGATGGGGTCGTGCAATGAAAGGCCAGATGAGGGATGAAGGGCTTCTCTGGGTCGGATAGCAGAGTGTGAATGGCACGAGGCCCAGCGGCTGACCGTACTTTAATATTGGCTGGCCGCGATTCTGGTCGTTCCCCGCGGGCGGATGTCACACAATGCAGGCCGGTGCGTGGGCGCTAGAGGTGTGGATGCGATGCAGGAGCAAGCTGCAAGCTCTTGGGTAAAGGTACGGCCGTTTGCTCGGCAGACAACGACTATTGAAGATGAAGACCAGGGATGGCAAGCGGGATGGATGCGTTGGTTCCGGGCGCCATGAGTGTGATCGGCGGGAGGTAAGATGTCCAGATTGCTAACGTCGCCGCAGCGCTAGTTTTTGTCGATTTCGGTCTTCAAGCACCTGAACGAGGGTGGTTGTAGGCAGCTGTATAAACAGAGGACGACTTCGGATTCCAGTCGAGGTAACGTCCTTTGTGAAGGGGTGTGTGTACCCGGAGATTGTCAATCGAGAAACGTAAGCGGCAGTTGCGGCATACCCCAGCGTGGAAGATGCGATTGCTGACGGTCGCAACTGTGCTTCAGTGACCTCTGGAACTGGGTTTTGTTGGTTCAGTCATGCAAAGAGATGATGGGATCATGGGAAGGGCCGGAATGCGTACCACTCATCTTTGACCAACTGTCATTGGAGCAACGCCGGTATGACGGGAGAGCATTCTGAAGTGCGACCAGGTCATCGAGTTGACCGCCGAAGGAAACATTGGGATGGAATTGACCAACAGCTGGCAAAGGTGACCAAGAAGCTGCAAGGCGAGGGCCTGCAGAAGCTGCATGGGTCGGCACACATGGTGGACAGGTGCATATTGGGGGCGGTTGAAGTTCTTGGTGGCGGTCGAATAGCAGAGTGAGAAGAGGATGTGACGGGCAAAGAAGTGGTTGACAACTTTGACAGAATGGCCGAAGGAGGACGACGAGGGACGGCGGGGACGGTCGAAAAAGGCGGGAGACCCCCCGGCGTTGCAACGTGATTCGCAGATTTGGGAGAGGGAGAGCTCCAGTGGGGTTACTTTCCCGTTCGGACCCCGGCCACTACGGGCGGTAATTCGGTGGCTTTGGTTGGCTGAGATGTTGATTTATTACCCACTATGCGCGTTTGTGTGCCCCTCCTTGCGCTAGTCACACCGCGGTACGTATCGGCCAGGGCCAACCACGCCCCGTCGCCCGCAGCTTCCAGGTTCTTTCCCATTGACTTTTGGTTGGTTGGTAGTTGGGTCTTGCCTGATGAAGCTTTCCGGCCCTAGCTTCCGCCGCATTCCGTCCAACACCACCCGACTGGACCTGCCCTGAACGAATGTTTGGCAACTGCACCTCACTCTATCCGTCCCTTTAACCACCTCATATGGTTTACTCCGTACGGAGTACTTCTTTGACAACAAGCTTTCCGTTGGTTTCCGTTGGATGAACAGTTGTTTTCTCTGCTGCATCAAATCCTTTGTTCACTCACCGGCTGGTACCTGAGTTCTGCAATGCACCACATTCCGCCGAGAACAAAAACCTCCAACCTGCAACCCCTTTACTGTGCCCGTTCCAACGTCGCCGGCATAAGGCATGGTCAACTGTACAGAGTACTGGTCCAAGAACTCTTTCCCCCCTCTCTCTGCTACTATTGCGGCATTTCATGATGGCAGTCGAGTCTTTACCCGAGTCAAAGCATACAGTATGTATTTATCCAGATCTGGAAGTCCAGATTGCCATGCATCCCAAACAGGCGAAAGCAACAGAATTCGACCCTGTCGCCCAGAACCGCCAACCGCCAATAGTCTTTCCCGAGGTGTGACGAATCTCCTTGAATCCCTGGTCCCAATAGATTGGGCCGCCAACAAAAATGTCCACCTTCGATGGCTGGTTGGCGACTGCTAACATGTATCCCATCATTCGAATCCACGATCATACGGATACGGTCGGGCACTTTGTTCTCATGCATGAACTTTCCAAGATAATGCTCAAGATGCAGATACCATGCAAGCACATCATTCCTCGTCACCAACCGCCAAGAAGCAAACAGATGTCGAGATGTGATAGCCGTCTACGCCGTTCAAGTTCCAACATTTCTGTCTCAGCTGCCTATGGTTCAGAACGCAAGCAAACATCCCAGCTACTAGCCTGGTCTCCCGCCCGTCCCGGCCCTACCGAGCTGATCTTCGCTCTTCCTTGGTGCCAAAACGGTTCGATCGACTCAGGTGGCCCCCGACTCGCCCAGTCCCTTCTCACATGACTTCACAAGGACGACATGAACTGGAGCAGTGTTTGTAGCCTGCCACTTTCTGTAGTGGCACCACCGCAGAGACCACTGTCGAACCTTATCGTCATGTTCCAAGATACAATATCCTCACAACGCTTCCGGTCCTCTCAACTACTCGAAGCATGATCCTCTCCTCTTGCTCATCAACAAAGTCCACCATCCGTTGTGCTGGGATTGAGCTTGACCCACAGCCCGGGATCGTCCCGGCCAGGCACAGTATCTAACCACATCTCCAGCTTGTGACGGAAATCATCGAATTCCACGCTACAGGGAAGTCTGGCGTTGAGTAGCATGAACAATTCCTGTCGAACATTCTTTGCTAGCTCACAATACGTGAAAACATCGCCTATGGGCAGGGGGCTTTTCTGCAATAGGCCCATGCTGAGCTCGCTTTGTAGCGCAGGCATGCACCGCCGGCCGTGTTGACACTCGAAGGCTGGGATGACCACCCCTTGGAAGTCTGGGAGATCTCTCACATCAAACACCCTCCTTCTGAGCAAAGCTACCAAGTGGAATAATTGGGTAAGCCGCTCTGCTGTCAAGCTGTGTTCAAGTGTCCCATGCCCCACGGGAATACACAGCCAACGTAGCGATGGGGGAAGAGCATTGATCAGCCACAAGCTTCTCCCCGTGTCCGGTAAGTTGACCACCTCGAGGTTCTGGCATCTTCTCGCCATCTCTCTTAACTCTTGAATGTGATGACTGTAAAACCGACTCCAGTCTACCGCCCAGAGAGCCCTTGTGCGCTCCATTATGGCTTGCAGGAGCACGTCGGTCTCTGCGGCGCCCTCGCCGCCCGTCAGGCCAATTGACACCTCTCGCAGCTTTTGACAAACCGACACAATGCGACGAAGCGTCCACCCATCGTCGTCATCACCGCAAGCTGCAAAGCGCTGTAAGCCCAGGTTTCTGACGCCGGACCAATCCACGGCAGACAACGCTTCATCATTGCTACTGAAGAAATTAAGATGGACTGTCTCGCGCCGCGGTGCTAATTCCAGCAGACGTCTCGCGCCGCTGACATCGGAGTACGGGTCTTCTTCACGCATAGTACCTACGTTCCCCATGTGTTCTGGTGAAGCCAAATGTCCGTAAGCGCATCGTAGCGCGTCGGAAATCCCATGCCACCTTTGGAGAGAGATTTCAAGAGCCGTTCAATATTGATTCCGAGCTCCAACGTGTGAATATTGCGAACCTGCAGTAGGACCATCATCGCCAAGACCCGAGTTCGTTGGAAACCGGGCTGCAGCCAACTGTCTGTCACCTGCAGTCCCAAATGCTCCGCGAGAGTTTGCAGGAACACCATCTCCGACTTCCCTGAGCGCCGGCCCATCCTCGTTCCGGGGCCGACTGGACTCCCTTTGTTTGGCATCAGTAAAGAGAGACTACACCATCAGCGGTTGTCACAGACGGCTTGCCCACCGGTGGAGGATGGCATACAGCTCGAGGTCGGGAGGCTGCTGCACGGAGAAGCAGAGGTGTCGGAACAGCAGGGGCTGTGTGACTTCATGTAGCACTCGGCAGGTCTGCGAGACGTTCCTCAGTACCTGCTCACCCTCCCGTGAGAGACGGAATTGCGGCACTTCAATATGTCTTCAGGTACGGTCTGGAACGGCGGTAAAGGGTTCGAAGATATGACGCAGGATCTCAATGGGCAGGTTGTCGAGACTATACTTCTCCTCCATTTTGTTTTATCGCGTTCGAATCGACCTCGACGTTATTCGGGTGACTTTGCTATAGGTCGGAGGCGAGGAGAGTAGACAGCTGCCGATAGTAATTGAACACAAGTCTTTGATATGAGGCTCCTCGAAGACAACTATCTAAGTCAACCCAATCCCCTCTATTGTTGAGCGTTCTGAAACAGTGGCTTTGCATCTTCTAACCCAGTGTTTTTCGTCTCCAGAAATTACCCAAGGTCTAATGGTAGAATCTCCAGTACGGATGATTCTCCATTTGTCCATCCTCATCATAATCAATCACCACATCTTGAGGCGGTTTCCCAAACTCGCGATCGCGCCTCCTATTCTCTCTGATATTCATCACGGTCACGAAAGCAGCACCAATGCCAGTCCAACACGTCGCCGCAAACAACGTCCAGAACCCTTTCTTATAACTCGGTCCATCATTCGAAGGGAAAAGATACCCCGTCGCGATGCCCATCGTACTCCCAAAAGACTGAAACAACCCCGTCGCGATCCCTTTCTTGATATCTCCGCAGCAATTACTCGTAATATTGCCCACACTCAACGTGACACCAGACAAGATCCCAGACAAAATCAGAAAAGTCGCGCCGTATCTCGCACTCGCAGCCGTGTGCGGCAACATAGCAAGCAGCAAATCGCCAACAGCAGCAACAACAGAACACCCCACCAACAGCCCCGAACACGATTTAACCCGATCACTCGCCCAACCGACAACAAACACCATGACAAACGCAACACAATACGGCGGCGCTGTCATCAACTGCGCCTTGACGTTGTCATACCCAAATGTCGCCACAATAATCGGCGTAAACGTCGCAATAGTGTACGTCTGCAGCACCTGGCCCATGTAAATCGCGATATTCACCCACAGCCGCCAGTCCTCCGTCAGCTGCGTCGCCGTCGTGCGCCAGTGGACTTTTCCGTGCGTGCGGTTGCCGTCACGCATCATGCGCCAGGTGGCGACGTCGCGCTCGCGCGGGGTGAGCCAGCGCGTGTTGTGCGGGCGGTCGGGCAGAACCCAGATACAGGCTACGCCGAAGACGATTGTGACGAGGCCTTCGATGATGAAGAGGGCTTGCCAGTGCTTTATGAGAGGGTTGGAGATGTTGGAGACACCGTAGGCTACCCAGCCGCCGAAGGCGCCTGCGAGGGGGGTTGCTGAGAGGTAGACGCTGATGCGACGGCCCCATTCCTTGGTGATGTTACGTCAGGAATTGGGAGGGCCAAGAGGGTATAGAGGGGGGAACTTACGGCTCTGGGATAGAGTACGGTCGTCAGGTACGGCGCCCCGGAGATGAAGGCAGCCTCAAAGATGCCGAGGAAGAATCGAATGGCAAATATGCCACTGGGACCGCCGGCAACGGCTTGCAGCGTCGCAAAGACACCCCAGATGATCTGCGAATCCCGTGAGCTTTCGTTCATGTATCATTCCTTTTGCGCATCAGACTTACCATCGCCGTAGCAAGATACACCGAAGGCCTGATATACCTCATCCCAATATTCGTAAACAGGTCAGAAATCGCCGTCCCGACAAAGAACATGCTCACGGCGAGAGAAAAGTCTCTGCTCGTGAAACCGAGATCTTCCTTGATCCCCATCAGTGCCGCGTTGCCCAGCGCCCCGCGGTCCAGCCAGGTGAACATGTAGAGGATGAGTAGGAAAGGGGGCAATCGCATATCGATCTTTCTCCGTACGCGTTTCTCTTCCTCTGGTGTCACGGGAGGATCGAGGTTGTTCATCCGCGCTACGATGTCTTCGTCTCCGTGGACCTCGAGGGGCGCCTCTGAGTGCGATCCACCGATTTCTTCATCGTTGACTGAGCCATTCTTGCTGAGGACTTTGACATCCCCTGCTCTCATTTCCTCCGCCATTATGATTTGTGTTAAACACTAGTTGGGTTTCTGGAGCCAAAGGGAGGTTGGAGGACCCAGATCACAGCTATTTGGGAGCGATTGTCGTATTTCCAAGCGTTGTGGATAATACATCAATGACTTCTTCGTTGGTGGTAAGGTAACGTAATGCGTCGTCAATATCGGTAGTGACAAGCTTTAGTTTCATCCCAAATAGAGTCCATGTCGTCAACTCTTTTCCGTCCAGCCGCCCGGCGTGCAGAGTTTCTCAACCCCTCCCTCGCAGGGCGGCCTGTCCCGCGCGTATAAACACCCGAGCTCCCCCAACCGTTCCCCCGCACGCGAGACCGAAAAGCGGCATACCAAAGTGAGCGAGTTGCATAAGGTGAAGCTTGATTCGCACCGATAAAGCATGTCTGTGAGTTGTTCCACGAGTATTATTTGGCTACGGTGCCGATCCTTCTTTGCTATCAAATTCTCACGTGCAAAGAGCGGGATGGGAAAGGGACGGCGTCGGGATTCAAGGGACTCTTCCGATTTGCTCAACGGTTTGAGCTCCAACGGGAACCAATAGCCCGTCACCCGTCTAGCAAAATAGAAGAAGCGGCCTCGGAGCATGATACAATCTGCAAGCTCTCGGCTACTAAATTTTACGGTTCAGCTTTGCCGATCAATGGGCAAGAGCCTTCCCCAGGCCCCTCCAAATGGAAAGATCTCAAGTCTAGTCTCAGAGGACATTTCTTTCGCAGAAAGGAAACAGTAATACAGTCCCCATTCCCTGGAGACAAGTTGATGTGAGGTGAAGGTAATTATAGAGCATGATGGAGTTGAACAAAAGCCTGCTGCCTGCCATACCCATGTGCGAACAAATTAAGTTCGCAAGCGCTTGCCCTGTCGTGTACGAATGGAGACTCAAAATCGACAAATCAACGATTCGATGTCGTACTCGGCGTTTTAGAGGCCTGCCACACACTGAGATTGTTAAACATTATCAATTCATCCTCACAATGCCGCCATTTTTGTCTTTTGCTCACTATACGTCCCCGGCTCGGGATGACCGATGAACAAGACGTGCTCGGCGATGCCATGCCAGTCTGACGGGAATTGTAACCCCCGATCCTCAGCACGATACCAATACCCATCCAAAATGTGGGTTATCTCTTCTTTAGGTCGCTGAGCTTTCCGGTAGTATAAAATGAGAGGGTAATTATCATGGCTGTTGCAACCTGAATCAAAACCCAAGGTTCTTTCGGTGCAAGTGATAATCAAAGTATACGATGAAGTTCACACCAACAACGTGTGGCCTCGGCGCCTTTCTCACGCTCCTCGCTCCTGGCTTGGCGGATGAATCCGCTCGCATCATCACCTTTTTCACCCGAAAGGCTGGGATGACGGAGCAAGAGTTCCACGATCACTGGACAAACACGCATGGTCCCCTGGTCGTGCCATGGGCTCTCCAGTACGGCGTCAACCGGTACACCCAGGTGAGTGACATATTATCATTACCTAATCCTCAGAAACAGAGACCTCTGAACTCACCGAGACGGATTCTCCAGTACCACACCACAGAGGCAAACCGCACAACTCTTCAAATGGCGCTGAGGCTGCCGGACGAATACCTCTTACAATACGACGGGGCGGCCGACTTCATCGTCTCGAGCATCGAGAAGTTTTTGTCCGCCTACACGGACCCTTACTACAAACAGGTCATTGAGCCCGACGAGAAGTCATTGTTTGCTCATAGCGGAGATGTTATGGTTGTTCGAGGCTCGCTTGGATGGACCACGGATATCGTTAAGGATGGCAGAGCTGCCGTGGATGCTGCGAGTGGGTGTAGTCAGTGGCGGGAGTTTCATGGAAGTGCGGGAAGCGGCTGTTGATAACTCCCGTGCGCGTGGTGGATTTATGTAGCTGCCAGGAGCTCTAAGCTGCAGCTGATGCCAAGAGTAGAAATATGCGAAGAGGTAGTTTTTGAAGGCGCGACAGAATAGATTTTCCGAGAGCCAAACATCTTAAGGGTTGGGTGAAATGTGAGGTACTACATACAGTCTGCGGAAATGTTCTCCACAAGTTTTCTGCTATCGAGGATGATCGCGGCCAGGGGGTAGACATACGTCAACTTGCATGAAAAGTAAGTAGTGCCATGTCTTCCACATGGGGTATGATCTCTATGTCATTTGAAGTAACATCTCATCGGTAAAGGAGAACAAAACTGAATGCTGTATCGAATATGAGAATCAGCTTTAGGCCAACTCTTCCCATGTTGTGAAGGGCATGAAGTCGCGATATGAACTTCCCACACATGAAGCTGCAAGCAGGCCGGACATAACTCAAGTTTGTAAACGACAAGCTATGCCTATTTTTAGCACCGTCCCCGCGTATTTGGCGTAAATTCGGGGTCCAATGATGGGTCGCAATTCGCAAGGGCTAATAGGCCTAGGCCGGGCCGGCTTTGGGCCAAGAGCCGAGGTCTAGTCTTTGAACCACCAACACAAGGCAATGAATTACATAACGGAACTCTTGAGGGCAAATTGGTTGGCTTAAAGAAGATCAACACCGGGCCGGCACGCAAAGAAGATCTTCAAGATATGTCAAGGTCGAAGCAGCTAGGACTCCCGCCACGAATGATGCAACTATCAAGCTGCCAAACCTTTCAGCGACGCAGTATCTAATACCAGCGACGTTAGATGCACTGGCCTCAAATTTCACTCTGTAATCACCTAGTGGGAATAATGCAACAAACATCCTTTCTTGGTCCAAAACCATTGGTGGGTTTTATTTTTTAGACTTCTGCTTCAACTCGCCGCGCTCCTTGACCATCTCAGAAATCGTGTTGCCCAAGTCGGAGTCCAACGCTTTGAATCCCGCGATAACACCTTGGCGATCACCCTCGCTCATCTCCTGGCTCATCTTGAACTTGCCCTGCAGCCTGTCAATGGTGATCTCGATGCCGATGATAGCCATTTTGGACAGGTCGACGTATCGTTGGGGTGCTTCTGAGATTGTCCATGGCCCAGGACGGCCACCTTGACCAGTGTATCCCATGATCGACTGCTCTCCAAGCTGTGAGAGATCGTGAAGCTGCCTGTTGAGGAATTTTGACGTCTCCTCGGTCTTGGACTCGTAAAAGATCTTAGCACGGCCGTACGCCTGGACCGCGGCATAGTTCCAGGTCGGCACGACCTTGGCCGTTGTCGGCTTGGTCTCGACGTAGAACTTTGGCGTAACGTAGGAGTGGGCAGGCGCGGTGAAGAGGACCAGTACCTCCTGATCGAGAACGTTCCCGGTCCCGGTCCGGTTTTCTGCTGAGAGTGAATCGAGAATTGCCTTGCACTGGGGGTTTGCGCGCGCCACGTGGCCTCTCAGAACGCCGAACTCAGTTTCGTTGGAATCATCTTGGACGTCCAACACCCAGGGGATGTGGCTAGATTGGATTACTGGGTGATCGGCGGACGGGATGGCTGTGGTTAGGACACCGAGGGGATAGTCCTTAATGAGTTGACGAAGCACCGGGATGCTGTTCTCTACGTGGTCTTTCCGAAGCTGCATATTGTCGAAGAATGGGATATAATTACAGAGATTCGATGCAATGGTTTCGGTGCTTGTCGATGTCGATGGGAGAAGTTGATAGTGTCGTGGTTGGTCTTATGAAGGCGGTTTATGTCGGTCTACCGGCTTTTTAGTGCCGGGCGCTTCCGTGTAATTCCTCTAGTTCCTGTCGAAACGTAATATGACATGTGTCTGAAAGGGCGTGCATGCGATCCACTAATTATGGTTTCTGTCCTGATGCCAGGTGCGGAAGTTCTCGTCTCCGCAAAATTGGCGTGGCAAATCACAACACCATCTGTACTTACTTGTGAGTTGATGTATGTCCACAGCGTCGAGGGCTATAAGCTCCGATGGCCTTGTTTACTTATAATCTGATGGTCTTCGCTAGCGGCCTCGTGTGTAACAATGACGACCTAGATAGTCTCCGTTGCGACTCAACGTTCGCTATGGATGAGCCCAGTTTCCGGTCAAACCTGGTGACTCAACACCCTACTTAACATCTCCGCGGAAGATAGGATAGATAGCTTCGGTGCTGGTGACTCTTATCTGAATCCGCGTGAAAGGTGCACAAGCTCTGCATGAGCCACGGCTTTTGCACATGTACGTACTCTCTGACGCATTTCGAGGGATGTTGTTTGTCAGAGTCAACCAATCATAAGAGGCTGATTACATCCAATTGCAGGAACCCCGGTCCCGACGTAGGTGCGATGTGGATGCGAGGGGCAGGACTTGGCAGCGGCTTCCACGCCGCTCGCCGGGGTGGGTATCGGGATTTGAGAACATGGGGCCGGGGCGGTAATGGTTTCTTTACTTAGAAAGTTTCGCCGCATCTTACCTAACCCAAGCAATTCGGTTATTCCGGACTTGGAGCTCGAAGTAAGGAGAGGGTTTAGGGCTTTTGGTCACTAACTAACGGGGATGGAAACTCTTCTCCGTATTACCTAGCACTTTCATCGTCAGTCATTTCCGAAAGAGACCATTTGTTAACCGTTTAGTTACCTGACAGCTAACTATCGACGATTCTGATGTAGCAAATTTCCACCGTGACCACATTTTTGACACGATGAGAACTTCCAGCAGAGCTAGGTGAACATGGACCGTCCAACTCAATCCACGCGTGAGACCTTAAAGCCACCAGGGATCCGCTTCTGGAACACTCCTTCCGGGTCATATTTGGCCGCGATCTCGCGGATAAAGTCCACGTTGGCAGAGCCATATGTCTTGATCGGATCTTGGCTTGGGTCAGCGTAGTTCAGGTAGCGCCAGGGGATGTTTCCATCGACAGAAATAGCAAAGTCTTCGATTTGGGCTGAGGCAGAGGCCATGTATGCCCGAGCAACAGCTTCCTGGGCTTCGGTATTGATAGTAACGAGACCAAGCCAGAGTATCGCATTATCCTTCTCTGCGTCAAGGCCGAGGACATTGCCGCCGTTCTCGGTCCCAATGGCTGCGAAGTAGGTGGGTAGAGGTTGGAAGACCATCTGGGTAGTGAACTCATCCGCCCCGACGGCAAGCTTCATCGCGTCGACGAACTCCTGGTGGGCCTCAACAGCCTTTTTCAAGATTGCTTCGTCATTTTTGAATGTCAACGTAAACCACACAGACCTGGACCGCAAGGTTAGTACAAGCGCTGCTTCCAGAGTGTAGAGAGAAGAATATAATCAACCAACCTAGAGCCGGCAGGAATCTGGGAGTTCAGCGCCAGATCAGCCATGCTCCGATGAGTCATCTCACTACTGATGGCAGGAATCTGGCTAATCTTTGCGAAAGACGTCGTATTCGAGTTGCCCTGCGTGTTGACGCGAGAAGCGGCAATGAGTATATCGTCGCCCAAAGCAGTGTTATGGGTATAGACAGTGACCATTGCGTCGTCGGCCAAGCTCTGGTCGTGGTTGGTAAAATCGACAACGGCACTGACGACGGCATCAGAGTTATCCTTGGTCATCATATGGATGCCCGTGTAGACGTCTTTCGCCGGCAACGCCTCGAGGTCGAAACGCGTCACGATCCCAAAGTTGCTGCTGCCACCCTTGAGGGCTTTGAAGAGGTCAGGGTTGGTTTCTTTGTTGGCATTGACGACGCTGCCATCGGCAAGGACGACCTCGTAGTTTCTCACAGAGTCTGCCCCAAAGCCCATGCGACCGGTATAGTACGAGTTACCGCCTCCCAGAAGAAAGCCACCGACACCTACGCCTCCATCGCGGCCACCGGTCACGGTGATATTGCTCTTGAGAAGTTTGGCATACACATCCTTCCAGTGGTCTCCGGGGCCAACGCAGGCAAGGTTGGTCTCCGGGTCGTACGAGGTCTGGTTGAGGTAGACAAGGTCGATTGTTACTCCATTGGCGATATTATTAGTGCCTGTCCAATGGTTATGACCTCCTCCACGAATAGCAATGTGCCAGTCACCGGCACCCGATCCAGCCTCTAACAATGTAGTCAGAGTCTTTGATACCTCGCTGGTGTCCCGTGGCTGAACGAGACACCATGGCCGCAGACGAGCACTGACAGACCAGTATGTCGAGATACGTGCCTCATAGCCTGCTTCTGTTGCGAGAACCAGGCGGTCTGTCAGCCCTGCGGCGATGAGAGCATCACACTTTTAGATAACTTTGTCAGCGGCTACACAGGACAGTATCTCATTCAGAGTGAACAACATACAGGTGGAATACCGGTGCGTGATGTTGCAGTGGACCAGATCGTTCCTAAGTTGGAAACTTTGTCGGTAGCTGCGAAGCAGACACCGGGAAGGAATAAGGTCGAGACAGCCAAGAGCCCCGCACCGATACCTGCGTAGGTCATAGTGGTATTAGTCACTACTAGTTGCTCCACGGTGCTTGTATTGATACTTCCAGATCTTGGCGACCTTGGGCGGGTATGAATATGATATGGAGACCACAGCACTAGGACTCGAGACGTTGATGATCAACCAACGGCCGCGATTCCTCGTCTTTCATATAGCTACGGACATCTTATACTATGAAATCTCTGCTGCCAAGAGAGGCGAGCGTGTTCAACGTTGGGATAATGCTCCAAAATCACTATATGCGGAGTGATGGAGTTGCAGGGCAAGGTATGATCGGGCTGCAGCGGTCAGCACTAAGCGATGGCTGTCTGACAGTAACACAGCAGCGGCACTCATTCATAACGTCGCAGGACAAAACCAACAAGGCGCAGTTGACAGGGCTCATAGAAGAGAGTGAAAGAACCGAGACGTCCATATTGGCGATTCGTTCTTGACACTTCTTTTCTTTCACATACCCGGAAGGTCTAAGCCTTCAAGTCAGAAGACCAAAGCAAGGTCTTAAAATGATTCAACTGCGGCGAAGTGAAGAGAAATCTCTGTGAATTCTCTAGCGGACGTGGTCTGCGTATGCACACTGCGACCAGGGGTGGAACCCACTACCCGGCAGTTCTTGACTCGCTGTTAGTTCACTGGGTTTTCTCGGACATTGACTGTAAGTTGACGCCAAAAAGTGATGTTATTCATTTGATTCTAAGGTACTAAGATCAGATTCTGTTTCTGTTCCAGATCAAGCTCGGATACTTTGGACATGGCGTCTCTTCGGGGGTCTGCTAAGCTTATTGTATGAAAATGGCAGGTTCAATGACACAGATTTAAAGTAGAATAAGCTTGAAGCCGGTGGGATGGCACCTCACGGATCCCTGTACCAACGTTGCAATAATGCCCTTCTAGACCTAGAATGGGCCAAATGTCCGGGGAAAACATTTCATGAGCCGTAAACCCTTGTAAATGTATGGGCCACAGCGCCCGAAGATGGAGACCTTGCTCCATGCCACACCAAGGACGCATGTGGCCCTACAGGGCATAGTCTTAATGATTTCAAGTTTAACTAGGAGGATGTAAAAATGCTCTTACAGTTTTATGACCGAAGCCATAGAAAGACCAGCAAGCCTTAGGAAATTACGAAGGGAGTCTGTTGAAAAACGCCTACGCAAGCACATCGCGAATTGCCCGTAAAACGAGCAAGATGCGTCATTCTGGGCTCTGCTGTGCTTCCACACTACTCCCTTAAGTTCAATAACTCGGTCACTCTCCTGAGATTTTTGGCTTGATTTGAACTCGTTATGTATCCAGATGGGATGTATCAAACCCATCTTATGCGAAGAAGTATTTGATTCGAATCAAGGACTGTCCATATAGGTACGGAACTAAGAAAAGGGACTCAGGCCGCGGCGACGAGAAAGAGTCAATCGGCCAAAAGAATGATAGATATGGTGATTACCTAGAATGAAAAGGTGTTGTTCACTTTGCAAACAAAACCACGCTAATTCTCGGTGCAGTGGTTGTGTTAGAGGCAAGGCAGAGCTTACCGCAAGTCGTTGGTAAACCAATAGTTTTGGTGACATGCAACACCCCAGTAAGCGCCACGCCGCCGATGCCGACGATGACTGAGAAGTCAGTAGTCAACATACATTCACGCACGTAAGAAGTGACGCGAAATTCTTTCCAACCGCTGATCGATTTTTTTAGGATTGACGTCTACTTATACTGCTAAGCCTACTTAATGATGTGGTGAACGACCACCGAAATTTGAAAGTGGCGAGGATGACTCAAAGTGTCAGACCCATTTGGACGGCTTGTCATAGACCTTAGCTCAACGCCCAACGACTGTCTAGGCACCCAACGACATCTTGATATAACCTCATTCAATTCCACCTCAAAGAAGAAGAAATGTTTGCTGTGTTTTCAACATCGTCGATACGCTTGGTCTTCAATCTTTAACCCTTCAGTCCCAACTTTCTACGATTACCCGCATAGCTTGCCGAACTCGAGCAATGGGCTTTTTAGACACCTTACCCGCTGAAATTCTGTTGCAAATCCAGGGGCTTCTTCCAATTGAATCCCAGGCGATATTCCCACTCCTCAATCACATGGTCCGGAACAAAATCGGGCATCAGCCCATGACTCTAAGCAAGGAGGCCCAATATCGACTCTTACAATTACTCGAATGCGACGGCGTACATGCGAAACCTCTCTATATTGCATGCAAAGACTGCGGAACATTCCATTCTCCCTCATCATCCGTCCCGCCCAGGCCAGGACATCAACACCATGTCGTTAACTCTCACTCGTACAACCTGCGACCATGCGCTGCACCCAAAGTTTCCCTCCCCGAAGATCACCTCTACATTGGTGCCAAGATGTGGTCAAATTTCCTGCCATGGAATATGCGATTTAACATGGTTGCCGGGATCCTGAGATCCCAACGCCTACGGTCGTCAGAGTCCATTGCAAAAGCTGTACCTGTCTCCAAGGAGTTCTATAGAACTCCGAGTTTTTGGATACAGCGACTGACTGAACGACGAATCATCGATGGTTGCCTGTTCCTCAAGACTCGGGACTTCGTTCAGCTGAAAAGTGGCATACACCGGGTCAAACACAGGGGAAAGTTCCTAGGAAAGGACGACAGGTTCTGGTACCTCAGCGGGTGTTGCCCTCACAGTCACCGTACCTGGACAGCCGGCGCCTTCGAAGTGGTTTTGAACACTGCCAGGGAACTCGAAGTTTCCACTGAGTCCAACAAAAAGCACCCCGATGAAGGCAGTATCTGGGAGTATGGGCAGAAGCCCCCAAAAGTCATTGTCGAAAACAACGGGAAGATATTCAGTTGTAAGCGGTGCTGGATGGACTACTCGTTCGAGTTTTGGACCAATCCATCATCCAAGGCTCGCATGGTGATCTTGACTAGCTGGAGGGATCTTGGGGAAGGGGCTACGGATAACGACCCAAGATGGCGGTCACATTTGCAGCGCTCTTGGGGCCGTCCTACTAGAAGTAGACTTTGCCTCAGGCCGGCAAGAGGTGTGTTTGAGGCATATGAAAAATCGCACGCAGCAAGGGTGTAGCTTTCGCGATGCTGTACGTTCTTGAAACAGAACTTCCGATGGGAAATCTGTCCTCGAAGAATTCATCTAGCCACGAGCAACAGGCTCTGCTTCATTGATGTAGCAAGGTATTACTGTTCAATGAAGTAAAATCGTAACTTCCTCATAACACTCCCACTCCTATCGCTATGGTATAAGGAAACTCTACTCCCATGTATTGTCTGTCATGCATAGCTCTGAGCTTTTTCAGCTATCTCGTATCTTCGTTCTTTTCAGATTGTCGTGATCTAATCTGAATGATGCTCTGACAGTGCCCTCCCCGAATACATGTAGACCAAAACCGAGCAAGCGTCAGCGTCATTTTTACCTCCGTAGCAACCCCGCCACCTCCCCATCCGCTCACCTCGGTACCAACAAGGCGGATCTCCGGCTGACTCAAAGTCCACGGCCGTTGGCCTCACAAGATCAGGCTCATCAGCTACCGACGGTGCGGTGTCTTTTTCCGACGTCGCTGGACTAGGCCAAGGAATTTCCCACCAATAGGCCTCTGCCGAGCCCTGCACTACAACATCCCCTAGGGTCTCCCCCGCACATCCCCCAAGATTCCAAGACTCAACCCCAACGCTTCCCCACGCGATCTTCGACAATCTTTGAACGCCAGACCGCTTCGCAGTTAATGCTTTTGTAATGTGCGCTCGAAAGCCGGGGGTCCTTTTGGACTCTTTTCCGATGCGCGCGCGGGGTTTCTCGTCCCATAGGCAATCTTATTTCCGAGTTCAACTACAATCAAAGTTGCCGTGCCTGGTACTCTAAGCCCTGCAGTGTCCAATGCGTTCAATTGACTTTTCCGTGTCTAGGGGGAGTACTCCGTCATTCCGTCCGATGTGATGCTCTCCGAAGACAAGAGAAGAGAAGTGGGAATACCTTCGTCGTCCCCACTTGAACTGCATTCCCCAAGAGCGAGTTTACGGATCGCTTGAAAGCATTAAAGATGGGGAAGGCTGCCCTCTAATTCATGTTGCTGTCTTCGGACCATCTCACATGAAGGCGAGATCGGATCAGCATCGTTGCATCGCATCCACCCTCTGACGTTTCTTCCATCTCTCCATCATGCGCTTCTCCCGGTCACTTGCCCTGCTCGCAGCCATAGCCGGCGTGGCCTCCTCCTACGGGGTCGAACTGCCGGCCGGCGTACCCAGATCTCTGGAAGAGTTCCGTGACAAGCATCCCTACACGCCCCCATCCCAAGGGTGTGGACGCAAAACTTTCACGATCCGCGCGTCCCGGAACGCCACGGACGACGTGTCCAAGGAGTTGAAAAAGGGTCTTCAGGAAGCTAACAATGGTGGGACGTTGTACCTTCCCAAGAACCAAACGTTTGTTATTGCGAAAGCTCTTGACTTGACTTTCCTCAATGACATCCATGTCCGTCTAGAGGGAGAGATCAAGGTAAGATCTAGCCACGTGGAAGTTGTCGAAGGTGATCTAATAGAGTGGCCTAGTTTACCGATGATGTTAAATACTGGCAAGTAAGTTACGGACATAAGGCATCCGCAGAGACTGCAGAAATGCGGCGTTACTGACGCTTGACTCTAGACAAATGCGTTCACGCACCCCTTCCAAGTAAGTCCCTGATCCGGTCTCATGCAGTCGTGAACCCCTGCTGATGCAACATGACAGAAATCAATCATGTTCTGTAAGATGGCACTGGCAATTCACATACTCGGACGCCTCGCTTACAGCCTTGAATAGGGAAATGGGGTGGCAAGGACATCAAAATCTACGGTGATGGGGTCATCAACGGACAAGGGTTCGTAGACCAGGATAGTCTTGATTTTCACCCATGTCTAACACTTTGCATAGCCAACGCTGGTGGAATGAGTTTAACTCAGGCATTGGATCGTCAGTACTCACTCCTTACCCCATCAGAGCACCAAGCTGACCGCCTCCAGGATTCTGGTATGAAGCCACATTGGCCTATTTTCATGTACTACAAGCAGCTAACGGCTAAGAACCCCGACAACAAATATCTGCGGCCTATTCTTTTCTATGTGGAGAACACCACGAACCTCGAGGTTGAGGGCATCCACATGAAGGACTCTCCCTGCTGGACCAACTTCATCGTCGGATGTAAGTCAGAGTTCTGGCAGCTGCTACTCAATTTCCCTAGGATATGAGACCTTGGCTAATAACTTATGTGCCAGCGAGCAACATTGAGTACAGAGATGTCATTGCCACTGCCATCACCAATAACGGCAGCATCATCCCCAAGAACACCGACTTCTTCGACTCTTTGGATGTTCAAGACGTCAAAATTGAGCGTGTTTGGGTCAACATCGACGATGACTGCTTCTCCCCGAAGTCCAACAACACCAACCTTTACGTCAACACCATGTACTGCAATGGTATGTCTTATGACCCTTGGTTGTACGTAAACATCAGGCTAACGTCATGAAAGGTACCCATGGACAGGTAAACGCACTGAAGAGCCTCAGTTGTGTCTTTGTCTTGCTAACTTGGCATAGTCGATCGGTTCCTTAGGACAGTACGCCGGGGAGATGTCTTACGTCAAGGACGTTCATATTGAGAACGTGTGGATGTTGAACGGAGATGTGCGTTGAGCCCGGCTATTCTGATCGGTCGTATGCTAACTAGATATTAGTACTCGGGTGCTCGCATCAAGACCTGGGCTGGCCCTAACGTGGGATACGGTTTCGTCGACAACATCACCTACAAGTGAGTACTTGTCCGTCTTGATGGTCGTGGTCAAGTCCCTAACATGAATGAAAGGAACTTCTGGGTTGCTCGGATGGACTACGGAATCATTCTTGATTCGTGCTACTTTAACGTAAGCTCACCCTGCATCTTGACGCAATGGTATGCGAAAGGACTCCGATCCGCTAACTAATTTGCGGCAGATCAACGAGACTACCTGCGAGCAATACCCGTCCGGCATGAATGTTTCGAATGTCCTCTTTGAGAACTTCACCGGTTACACCAGTGGCATCTACGGGAACGCCGTTGCCAAGCTAACATGCTCCACGAACCCCGATGCAGTCTGCCACAACATCAAGTTCAAGAACTTCAACGTCACATCGCCGTGTGGCGGGGATCCTGTCATCATTTGCGATGGCGTCGACGGCGGCATTGACACACCATGTGTGAGCATCGACAGTGATGAGGCAAAGGCTGCTCTGGCGGCGAAGTGCCAGACTCCTCTCGCTCCGATTAATGAAAAACCGTGGTAGATACCCGATTGGCAAGGATGGTCTAGGGCCCCTTTTCTGCAAGACGAACCGAGAATCTGTGCTTAGACAACGAATTAAGCATTAAGATGTGTACATCAAGTAATTACATGAATGAAATGTCCATAAACCAAACGCCTTGCTGAATGCATGCCTTGTGTAAGATAAAGAACGGACTGATCGCCGTTGCGGATTCGCAACTACTCAAGACTCAAGAACCACGACAGTGTTGACAGGGAACGTGATGCTCATGTTCTGCACAGGAAGGATGTCTGTCCCAGCAGTGGCGTTCCAGGTGAGCCCATCTTCCTGGCGCTTGTAGATGTGTTCGACACCAAGGTACATGCGCTCGCGGTCTGCCCCGGCCGTCCAGATCGTAAACACCTGTGAATCCTCGCCGAGGGGACTGTTGTCTGGGTTCAGGCAGGGGAGCCAACCCTGCTGGATGTAGATGGGGCTACAGACGACGTTGAAGCTAGGCGCCCCGGGGCTGTAGCCCGCGGGGGCGCTCACGTTGAAGCGAGCACTGCAGCCGCCTGGTGAGCAGCCCCAAATGTAGTTTTGTGCGCTCCAGGAGACGTTTCCTGGTGCTGCTGGATAAATGGCGCTGCCGTCGGTTTGTCGACGCTCGGTGATCGCGGCGTTATTCGAGACACCGGCCCACCGGAGGGGGAGAGTGGCGGCGGAGGCGCCTGCGATGAGGGCGGAGAAAGTGGTGATGAAGTTGCTGACATACATTCTGGCGTGCTTGAGAGTTTGATAAGTGCGGGTCGAGGAAAGATTGATCGCTTCTCTCTTTATGACGAGAAGTCTGGCTTAAAATATGTAAGGGGAGGTTTATCTCATTGATGGGACACGCAAACTTGTGGAATGTGTGACAGGATTCGGAGATGCTTGCGGGAAGATGATGGTATTTCTATGATAAATGTGTTTGGGTGAATCGTTTGCGCGGTGAGGAACTGATTCAGACCCTGCAAAGAGGTGGGGACTCATGTCTCACTAAATACAAGAAAACCTCTCCCTGGGAACGTTGAAAAGCTGTCAAATATCGTGACATTGGCACGCCACAAGAGACGTGGGCATGGAAGATCACCACTCAGCGGTGCAGATCCCGTAAGAAGCATTTTAGCGGTCAATGTGCGCCTGTGTGGCCCCCCAACGTTTCCGTGCGCAAAACCTCGTATCGGCAGTAGAAGGAATGGAGGTCTCACATGTGATGTCACTCTCAACGTTGCTATCCCCCGTGTCCGTCGACGCTAGTTGCCCGACGACAGCTGGGGAATGGAACCGATGGTTGTTCAGGGCCCGGTTCCGACTGGTTGATCCGTGTTCGGTGTGGTCCAATTGACGATGGTATTTTGAATCCCACAGAATTCCGTTTGACGAAAGACACATGATGCGTGGGCCAAAGCCTACGTGGACAACGCCGGAACACGAAAGTTGCAGTAGACCAAGAAGCAAGTAACAAGAAGCAACGTCACGTTCGAAAGCTATTTAAAGCAAAGCTTAAGTAGGCAGACAAATGGCGGGAACTAAAAGATAGCTATCACAGGTTGTCTTCGGCAACGCGGCAACGATCCACTCAGGATGCAGACGTGGGGAGCACGACAAGTAATCGCGTTTATTGTAGATGCACGTTTTGAGGCTGACGGAACCATGGCGCCGGCATCCGTTGGTGCTTACTGATTTCCATTCCCTCATGTATCCTAATGCGCTCGTCCTCATTGTGCTTCAAGCAGGGCGTATGCACTTTGGCTGACGTGCATCATCAATCTGGATCCCTCGTAGATGTGGGGTTTGTCGATCAACGTAGAGGCAATACCTACCAAGTAGTCGCTTGGGTTTAGCAGCACCCAGTCACCCATGCTCCATCGGTCCCAAAACTTTCGAGGATAGACTTGATGCGATCTATGGTCACCTTAGTCAATTCACTTTGTCTTCCCATTGGGCATCTTCAACTTCCGTATCGCACTTCAGCATAAGACCGTACAGCCTTTAGTGGACTCTACCTATATCTCATGATGATCGCGATGAATAGGTAGATGTCTGCCCTACAGGCGAAATCTACGTATGTACAGGATTCTTATGCTGATGATCTCTTTGCGAATGCTTTCAGCGCTTCGACGGCCTCGGACCTGCTTCGCTTCTCGACCAAACTCGTTGTAATATTATCCTGTTCCGATTCTGGCGCCATGCCCTCATTCCTTGGCGGGTTGTTGTCTAGATTCGTCGGGAACGGATATCCCTCGGCCACAGCCGCTATGAAAGACTGGACCCTAGCACTCAAGCCTTCGTCTTCGTACAACTTCATCAAGTGATCCCAGCTCTTCTCCACCAGAGGCACGGCGTCCACAGATTCCATCGGTTTTCCAAAGGGGCTGCTTATCTGCAATAAGTTCGCCATCCTGTACACATCGGTCGACACGTTCTTCCCAGCCGCGTGGAAGAGCGCGGGGTTGAAGAAGAGACCATCTCCCACCTCCAGTGGCAACGCAACATAGTTGTTTAAGAAGTATTCGTTAAACTCGGGGCGACGATACGAGATGTAGCCAGCCTCAAACGTCTGGCTGAATGGTAGCAGCCGCGTGGGGCCGCTCTCGAGAGGCACTTCAGAGTGGGCGACGGCGCCTTGCAGCGTCAGGAGCTGGCTGGCGACCTGCATGGCCCGTGGAATCTGCGAGGCCGCTTCTGCTGTCTGGAAACCAACATGGTAGTCACGGTGGCAAACCTGTGGCGAGGCGCCAGGCTTAGTATTGTTGACCTGCGCCGTGATCCTGTAGCCCTGTCCGAGCCACGCGCTCGAGATTAGGCCGAGGTAAGGATTCGAGTAATACTTGACAAAGGACGCCGGGTCCTTCAGGCCGTGTTTGCTGAACGAGTTCCAGATGCGGTCGTTTTTGCCAGCGCTGGCAAAGTGGTCTCCCTTTGCGGTTCCTGACTTCCTTTCGTCCTCAATGATTGATGCGAAAGCTGCGTTTGCTGACTGAATCAAAGCTTTGTCGCGGAAGAGGCCCTTTGTGACGAAGACGCCCGGGCCGGAGATTAGGACGCGGTACCACTCGTCCTGGAGCTCCGAGCGTTGTATGTCGCTCAAGCTGGAGTGTCCGGGGAGGTCGTAGACGGGGATGTTCTTCTCGATCGAGGCAGCAAGCGGGTAGTCTTCTGGAGAGGTACGTTGGGAACATGCGGTTGAGAATCGTTCCAATGCTGTCGCTTCCGATTTCGAGAAGAGGCGGGAGGACGTCGGGCTGGGAGAGTGACTGTCGTTCATTTGTTCGTTCTTAATAGCCATATTTTCGTACTTGTTTGTGCCGTTAGTATAGGGGTAAGAGCCTGCTGTAGTCTAAGGTATCTAGCGATACCAACTGATAACATTCCGTCGGTCATGGAGCAAGAAGCGCGGGGTATTTATGCGTTGAGAGTAACGTGTAGTGGGCTGGCGTTCCCCACATTCGGCAGAGACTCGAGACTTAGTTCTGACGTTAGAAGTCCATAGAGATAGTTCAACCACAGCCTATGCGGAAACGCGGGTTGGAGGTCCTCTCCATCGCGAGGATTCGCACAATGATAGAAGTCCGAAAAGGGCATTGTCTGACGAGGTCAAGACAGTAATCGGGCGCCCCTCTGCCGGTCAGAATTGCCCGATTGAGCTCCGGATGGGTCCGCCGAGGAACGGCCCCATACGGAGATGCTCAACGTGACAGAATCTGCCCCCCGCGAGCTGATCACCTGGGGAAACATCTCGACTTGTGAGTCGATATTCGGCGACGAACGTAGAAATTGGACTTTGTTGCATTACAGTTGTCTCTGGGTCTGCCTGACTTCTGGGGCCCGAGTTGGTGGAGACTTCGGAAACCGATTTCCGAATGTCCTATGAGATCTTAGTGCGGCTCAGATTTCAGATCTTCCCCGGACTACAATTCCGACTAAGCTTTCATCATATCATTACTCATCACAACCCAATGGCGACGTCTTGGCAAAGAGTACTTGGATGAAGTAAATGGTTCGAAGGAACACCTGTCGCCGCTCGAATTCTCGTCAAATCTGGAATCACGTGGATACTGCTACGCTCCCGACTAAGGGGCTTGACTTTAACGAACAGCGCAATATCACCTCAGGCCAGAGTTTGGGTTATCAGATTCGATCATTTAGTTCGTCTGGAATCATTTCGGCACAGTACCGAGAAGTCAAACTTTAATGCCTGGTCTGTTCCATGGCTTATTGTTAGCGAGATCTAAGGCAGAAATGAAGAAACGCCTTTCATTGGTCTGGATGTGACTTCTCCTTCGAGTAAGGCGTTCTCCGGAGTGGCCCATTGGCCTTGCGAACCAAAGTACGTGCTCGAGCTCCCTGAACGCCTCAAACGTGCCAATGGCGTTTGGATTTGAGCACGTGCGGTACGGGTACTGAGAGGCTCAATAATTACAACTAAGCTACAGTAATCGGCTTTGAAGGTAAGGTATTTACTCCATCATGCCGTCTCGAGAAAGTTCCGTACCATAATAGAGCAAGGACACATCACGAACACCTTACCTCGATGGAAACCGGTGAGTCAAGGACGCTACGTAAAGTCTCCAGCTCCAATCTCTAAATGCCAACGTTAGGAGAAGCTAAATCACATCTGTCATTTCTTGCAGCTTTTCGGCTAGAGTTGCGCTGCAAAGACGTCTCAGAAACCGAGATCACTGTCATGCTGCAAATTTGAGGAAGCTGGAGTGACGCGGGGAATCCCGCGGGCCGGCTCTTTCGGACATGTCAATATTTCATGTTCAGAGAAAGGGCACCGGCGTTCTTTCGTAGGTATACTTCAAATAAGATTAAGATTCAGCACGGGCCATCTGTCTTTACACCATCCCTACGATTCATTAGAATGCTGATGGACGACTCGGTATGCCGAGTTGTGCGAGCTAGATTGACTGGATCTTGCCTCAATAGTATGTGACTAGCATTACCGCGTGTTTCGGCCGTCGATTAAGATACACGAAGTGTAATTCTAAAGCTGTAGATCCTTGCTTCATGGACAAGTGGCCTGTACTCTGTAGTTACAAACGCTTGCTTCTGATGCTTTTCCAATTATATCCTGAACCACTGTTGTTTGGGTGTCCTGAGACTCCGAGTATCCGCACAGATCGAGAACGATGCATATACTGCGTGGTAAGAACAGGTTTCTCCTCCAGAATATTTCCCATACTTGGTACTACTCGAATAGGGAGACACATCTAACATCCTTCCCCTATCCCTGGCTAAAGACCATCGAATCGCATCACGACCATCCCGTGTGCGTTTCCCACATCTGGAATGAACTTTAGTGCACAATTGGTGCTGCATACCTGGTCACTCTAGCGTCCGGCAAGTCCCCTGTACATCTCGGCGTGGCGCCCACGCGCCCCGCGGTCGGCGCTACCGGTAGGAACACGGCCGAAGCAACTTACAAAGCCACATGGGCCAGGTAGCTAGCACATCGGGGTTCATGCTGTAAAAGAACGTCCTGCTAGCAGTGGGCCTCGGAGCGGCCAAGAGGTGTCCACCGCCCCGTCTTCTCTCGAAGATTACCCCAGCCAAACCTCATCATCCTCCACTCCTTCAGCACAGATTTCGGGACACAAATTCCAGAGAAGACAGGCAGTATGCCCCAATCATCGAAGCCCGACGCCAAGAGGAGGCATGTCACTACGGCGTGCATTTCCTGTCGGGAAAGCAAGATCAAGGTACGCGCTGTCTCCCTCAACCTCGTTGTTATTGTCTTCCCATGCCTCAACTTGATATCACGACCGTCGCTTCAGGTTGAGCACTGCTGCATTGCATTGACAGATTATCTACAGTGTGACGGCGCAACTCCTTCATGTTCCAACTGCAAGACTAAGCGTCGAGACTGCCGTTACCAAGCCGGAGAGGACAAGCGCAAGTTAGGTTCTCTTTGCAGTCTTCTGAATTCGAGCGGACTGATCGGGGCTGACAAATGCTAGACTCTCCCTGCGCGTTGCAGTCGAACTACTGTCGAGCAGAGTCGACCAGCTTTGCCAGTTTATCAATCAGAATGGCCTCCAACTTCCACCAATGCCTTCAGAAGAGGCCAAAAGTCTGACCCGGATATTAAACACTCTAGGACTCTCGACGGTCCAAGTGGCTCTAGAACGCGACAAAACACCACCGATTGACCCTGCTTTATCCCTAGAGCCGCAACCATTGGCACCCTGCGCCCCATCTAACAACACTTTGTTACCGCCGGACCAACTTCCTCTAGACTTTTCACTGCCCTTCGACCCCTCTTCCTTCAATCTCAGCCATGACGCAATCAGTATCACAGGGCATGCTCCGCCGGTCCAAGACGGGCTGCTGAACTTGACAACAAGAGCTATTGCCGATTGGGAATGGAGCCCTTCTGAGAGTGCTGACAACGTCATCACAACTGATGTCGACGTAGCCAACGTCAGGGCACCGACCCATTCTCTTTTGCGCAGCTATTCCGAAGAGGTTCCTCTGAGCGACAATGAAGACGACGATGCCGGTTCGGGCACAACGGAAGAGGACCTCGTCAATCAATTGTCTGATAGACTAGGATCTCTTCACATTGGCCCCAATGGCCGTATCTCGTATTTTGGGCCGACATCTAATTTCGGCTTAATGGAACTACCTCTGGGAACCGATAGTTTAGCTGTAGATCGGACTGTACGCAACGACGGCCAGGAACACCTAGACAACATGGGATACGGCCAATCGGTGCCGCAAGATCTCGAAGATCATCTTATCAACCTATATTTTACCTGGCAGAATCCCTTTCAGCATGTAGTCGACCGGACTCTTTACGACGAAGCGAAGCATAGTTGGCACGAGCAAGAGGAAGATACCCCATATTACTCTGAGGCACTCAGAAATGCAATGTTCGTCAACGCGAATTTCAGCTTTCAAGTTGCTTGCTAACTCTTTGTAGGTGTTCATTGGGCGCTACTTTCGAAACACGATACCACCCGAGCTTTATAACCTTCCCAAAGTCTCTTCCGGATTTCTTCGCCGCACGAGCCAAGGCCCTTCTGGAGATCGAACTAGATTCACCTTCGGTCTCTACGGTACAAGCAATGATTGTTCTTAGTAGTCATGAGATAGGGGCAAACAGGGACTCTCGTGGGTGGCTGTATAGTGGTAGAGTGGCCCCAATGGCGACCCCCTTGCAATACGGAAGAGTAAGAACTAACTGCTCTCGATTCAGGAATGGCGATTCGGCTTGCGTTTGATTTGGCTTTACACAAGGATATGACACCATACGTTACCAACGGAATTCTAAAGCCTCCCGAAGCCGAGCTTCGTCGAACTGTGTTCTGGGGCGCATACACAATGGATCAGTAAGCTTCTCGTGTCATTTGAACTGTCATTTTGCCGTTGCTGAGGTCTTTCTGTTCTGACTTTCCAACCTTTCCAGGACGCTCGGGTTCTACAGAGGTCGACCTTTCCGTATCAGCATGGACGATATTACAGTCAAGAAACCGACAGAAGACTCGTTGGATGGACGGGTCGAGCAATGGCTGCCTTACGTCTCGCCCTTTAGCAACGGCAATTCATCGGTGCCCCTACATGACCACGTCGAGGCTGTCAGTCTTCACAGGATAGAGTTATGCGAAATCATGGCACCTCTTGGCCATACGCTGTGAGTGAATCGCCCGGAAATCAATCCTTCCGTCAAGGTCAGTGAGACTAATCGATGTTCTGGTAGGTATGGCAACTCTCGGATCCCGCGGGATATATTACAGGCCAGCAACGAGAAGATTGTTGCAATATTATTCGCTTGGAAGGAGAACTTGCCACGCACGATACAAATCGACCTAGAAGACTCAAAGGGGTCATTCCTTCCTCATGTTCTTCTGTTACAGTAAGTCCAAGTCCATGTTGCAGATTACTGTCATCATGCGGCTGTTGCTAACGTTTTTGTCTGCAGCATGCAATACTACCAAAACGTAATACATGCCCATAGGCCGTGGATGTCGTCGAGCTACATCCAGCCACAGCCACCTCAAGGTCCAGGCTCCATGCACGCGCAGCACATGTGCATTGAGTCAGCAGCCGCGATAGCAAAGCTGATCTTGATTTATGAACGTCAATACTCCCTTAAGCGAGTCCATATTCAAGGCGTTGCCGTCATCTTCTCGGCAGCTATCATCCTCATCTTCGCATCGATATCCCGCCGCAGACGGAAGAGGACTACAGAGACTGCGACACACTTGAGTATATGCTTCCGAGCTCTGGAGGAGCTTTCAGGCTCTTGGGAGTGCGCTAAGCGGTCCCGGGACTTTCTCCTCATGCTTCAACGCAAGTGGGAGCTGCGGTCTCGCCGGCTGAGTCAATGTCCTTCGCGCAATCCCATGCTGCCCCTGGGACTTGGCGCATTGCGGCAGAGCGAGCAGGGGTCTCGGAAACGAGCGCGTACTGATAGCCCGGCCGGGCCGAAGAGCATCGGTAGTTTCCAGAGCATATCTCCCATTCAGCCAGAGGAGCAGCGGGAAGATCAAGAGGGCATCGATATGGACATGAGGTTGGATCTCGACTGGGTATTTGCCGCGGGAACACAGCCCATGCCAGGCAATTGGGACCATCTATTGAATACGGATACGCTTTACTTCAATCCCAACAGGACCGGGTAGCGTCTATATTGTCTCGTAGTCTCAAGATCACCTAGGAAGTTTGGCCTGTATTCATGTTCCTAGCGTGAACCTAGTCGGGTCATTGGGTGATCCACGGGTCCTGAATTCAATGTCTTACGCGACGCTACTGGCCAGCCGCTGCTGCAGCATCAAATGGATATAATTGGGCGAAACGTAGCGACAGGGGGGCTTACGCCCAGTACGCACCTGCGAAGGCAGGACTGCAGAGCCTCGTCAACCTCGCTTCTTCACCTCGACTACAGTAGCAGACACTCATACGACTTCACCATGTCCTTTTCAGACGATCGGCTCTGTCGCAACTGCACCAAGCTAGGTCTGCAGGCAATCTTTGACCCGGCTCGGTTTGACGGTCTCCCAGTCATCGGCTCGGTTCAGAGTTACAAAACTAGCTGGACCAAGTACATCCAACATGTTGGAGACTGGAGACCGCTCACCCGGGAGGAGAGAATCAGTCAATACCCCCCAGGCATTATTCCAAGCTGTCCTTTCTGTGACTTCATCTTCTCCATCGGCTTCAATCTCGCCCGCTACCCTAAGGCCGAGAAGGACAAGATCATACTAGCGATTCCCGCCAATCTGCTCTACAACTTTGCTGTTCTAGATAAGGGGCCGGGTAGCGATGGACTTTCAGACTATACCTCAGTATTCCTCCTTGTCATGAACCCCTCCCACTATAAGACAGCGTCCGCTCAGTACTTTGGCAATAACAGCGCCGGCGGTGGCTTGACAGCGTGGATCCGTTTCGCCCATCGGGAGGCGCCGGGAAGTCTGGTCTCTCTTGCGTCCACCGTCATCTTGGAGCCCCCCAACTTTCTTCTGGACCTTCCGATGCAGGGCAGAACCTTACGTGAGGAGAAAATCGATTACGGTCTCATCCGATCATGGATACACCTATGCGAGCATCACCACGACACATGTCGTACCAGCCCAGACTGGCAGACTCTCCCTCACTTTAAGCTCATAGACTGCGAATTCCGTCGGATCATCAACACGGATCCAGGTACCAGGTATCGCTACGTTGCGTTAAGCTACGTTTGGGGAGATGCGGAGCCTGACAAGTACACATACCCTGATCTGCCGGACAGCCTTCCGCCGGTCATCCAGGATGCCATGAGGGCCACCATCAAGCTTGGCTTCCGGTATATTTGGATCGATAGATACTGCATCTGGCAAAACAACGAGACTCATAAGATGAGCCAAGTGGAGAAGATGGACCAGATCTACGGAGACGCAGAACTCAGTATCATCGCCATCGGTGCCAAGGACCCAAGCTACGGGCTGCCGGGCTTGTCCCTCGGGCGAACGCAACACAGTCCCATTACCAAAACGATTGGCCAGGAGAAAATCGTCACAAACTTTAGCCATCAGTGGCAACTTGATCAGATCTCGAGATCAAAGTGGTCCACGCGGGGTTGGACGTTTCAAGAGACGTGTCTCTCCAGGAGAAGACTCTACTTCTCCAACTACGAGGTCTCATTCGAGTGCCACGATATGATGTGCTTCGAAAATCTCACGCGTCCTCTCGCTTTGCAGGGGAATCTGGAGCACCATGAGAGGCCCGAATGGACTCTTCTCAATACTCCAGACGGTATCTGGGCAATAATCCAGAAGTACTGCGATCGTCAGCTCAGATACTCAAGCGACAGGCTGGCCGCTGTATCCGGAGTTTTGAAGAAGTGGTCACGAGTCAACTCAGGGTGCTTTTCGTACTGGGGCATTCCGATAGTCGCCTCCGGCTGGCCTGCTGTAGACGCCACTGCCTCGAAACGCGCTTTTCTCGCCGGGCTGCAATGGGAGATCCGACCTGAAGGAAAGAACTATGCGAGACTGGAAGCCTTCCCAAGCTGGTCGTGGGTATCTCAAAACGGGAAGACGTTGTTTGGCCACCAAGGCTACTTTCACCTGAGACCCCCCAAGTTAGTGGAACTAACGGACAAGTTCGACGCGGAGGTTTGGGTGGAAACACCTCAGGGGGACGTCGTAAAATGGGCTAAATTCTATGAATCTGGTGGTCTTGATGCGTCAATCCTGCAGTGTACGAGGTATCTTCACATCGAAGGCTGGTCTTTCGAGACCGGACCCCTCTGCTATCGACAGATCAAGCGGCGTTCAGGCACCGCGCACGACGACATGTTCTATCTTCCGACAACACGCAAACCTCTAGATGGGAAAGGGGAGTTTGTGGTGAAGTTTACTCCAGACTTTGTATACGAAGATACCTTCCTCGGCCGAAGACTCACGGCGATATGCTGCTCACCTCTGGAATTTGCGACGTGCGCTATAGTTCTCGAGTCTGTCCCGGGTCTCACCGTGAGGATAGGGCTGCTAGCGTTTATGAGGATCGAAGACTTGGGTTCACACGAATCGCAAATTCCTGAGAATCTGCCCTTTTCTGGGCTTCCATTCGCTTCGCAGAGGCGTCGTTTCCGTTTGGGATAGACGTAGGGTGGGAAAGGTTCTCTTCGTATGTGCACTCTACCACTAGCAGCTTTCAACAGGTTACCGCTCCAGGGAAGACCTTTGCTATCATCAATCTGTTGGCCGAGAGACGCCACTGCGCTGAAAATTCCCACATTATCCCTATGCTATTATCACAGACCGTGAAAGCACTTCCGCTAGAACTCCATGATAGGGCCCAAGTCTCGACTACCTTACTCTTGTCGGTGCACTGTTGGTCCCGATCAAGCGTGTCAGAAGCTCTCTCCGAAAATAATTCAAACTTCTGAAATCCCGAGGGTCTCCTTGAAGCCTCTTTGCTTATGCACGTCCACCTGAAGGCACTCCAGAGCCTCAACCATCGCAGACTGAGCCCCCATCCTCGCTTCTATCACATCTGCAGTGAAAGTGGCCATGCTCAGCACAGCATGCAAGCGGGCCCTTGCAGTGAAGCGAACTAATTTATCCCATATAAGGCTGAGCGGGTGTTGTTCGCCAAATATGGCCTGATGCATCCTGCAAACGAACAGAAGGAGTGTCTCAGAGAGTTTAGGTTCCAGGTCGAAGATGTCGTTGAATGCTAGTATTAGCAGCTCAGGTTCCTGTTCCCTTATGAGATATTTCAGTGAATCAAGTTGCTTGTTGAGGTGGCGGAAGGCAGCAGTTACTTCCTGGCTGCTAAACAATGCATGGATGTCGGCCATGTCGTCATGCCACTTCCGGACCCTTTGCTTTGCTTGCTTCCCGTTTGGTCCGTAGAGAATTTGCCCATTGATGACGACCAAGCCTGTTTCGAATGCCCCATCAAGGTAGGAACGTATGATCCGTATAGAATCGTCGAGCAAACGCAAATCCGAATGCAGCTCTATCCGACGAGGGATTTCGCTCTTGGATAAGGTCGGCGAGGGTGTAGAGCATGTTATATCCAAGTTTGCATTCGTATATTGTGCGATATCCACGCTGGTTGTATCTTGTAAGTCCGGCCTATGTTTCAGATACTGAACCACACGTTCCCAGTTGACTTCTTGACCTCGGAGAAAGAACTGAGAGCGCTTCCCGGCAGCGTCGCGGTCCTTCGTTTGTCGAAGCATTACCGCTACTTCGGCTTCTTTAAGCTTCTTGTCCAATTTCTAAACCTTCAGTCTTGACTTGTACATCTTAGTTCTAGACGAGATAGGGTCAGTAGGTCGCGGGTATAGCTGGAGACTGACTCACGTGGCGTTAAAATGATATTGGGTTTCCATGATCTCCCTAACTTGTCTCAGGGACTTGCTCTCATCTCGGTAGAGCCTAGCGATAGTAGGCTGCATACGTTTCCAATCCTTCTCAGTTGCATATGTCTTGCCAGCGGCCAAGCCATGGACATCTTGGAACCCAGATGGAGGACACATAGCGTGCGTTTGTGGTTCACTGATGAGAGATGGGCCTCAGACTAAGAAGGCCTTTCACAAGTTGTGCTAAGAGTCAAGAGTGATCATAGTGTGTGCCAAAAGTTCCTTGCAAGTTGCGCAATTGAGGAGGTAGGTTCTCGTCTCGGCGCCTGTGTGAGCATTGTGGTAATTCTTGTCAAGGCTTCGCTGGCATACGAAACCAATGTAAGGCTTGCCCCAAGAGACCAATCTTCAGCAATTTCAACTCCTCAAGTAATGAGCAGGGCTATGGCACAGTCTGACCTTCTCAGCCGTAAGCTGATGGTAGATATGCACGGTACGTTTTAGACACGTTATTATAACTAAATGGACATGATCACACCGTGCTGCGCCGGGTTGGGGGCACAGGATTTGGGGGCTGTGTCGAACCAGCGCCCCTTTCCACTGAGAGACTGCGAACCTCCCAATGATCAATTTGGTTCTCAACTCCATTCGTAGGTAGCTATGCGTCACATGTAGTGTAGGTACCAACGTAAAGTGATGTGCATGTTGTACAACAATGATGACGGCCCGAGTGGGATGATCGACGTCGTATCCTGACCATTGTCAAACCTGTATCAGCAACAAACCCAAGCCACGATACGGCGAGGGTATCTGCTGTTAGCTCATCGGTGACAGAAAGAGTGTACTGAGGTGAAGAGGAAGATCTTGGCCACAGACATTTCTCGGACGAGGCACCACACCGAAACATGCTTAGTTCGCATCTTTTTACTTCTAGGAACATTGAACGCCTAGCCTAGTTACTTGGGTATCTTACTTGGTACTTGACTTTCAAGTTACCTCTAAATCGCGACCTCTCAATTCCGACTAACGACTCGGAAGACCTGATAATCAAAAATAAGCTTCAGGCATCTCCCCAAAGTCGTCAAGCCCAAGATTACCACCGGGACCAGGCCAGCTTTGCCAGAGCTCGAAGAAATCAGCAAAGGTCATCCCAGCACCGCCTCCACGTCGAGCACCCGTGGTCCCGGGACGATAATCGTACCATCCACCTCCGTAGTGAGCTGGCGGCTGTTCGTAGCCCGGCCGAGAGGCACCGCCGTTTCTGCCACATCCGGGAACCGGTTCGGGGCCGCGACCGCCACCATCTTCCTCGTGGTCGTGACGGGGACCGGGGCCAGGATCGGTGCGGCCTTGACCGGATCCAGGGCCGGAATGAGGACCGAACGCACCAGTACCGCCTCCTACGTTGCCGCCCATACCTGCTCCTCCTCCGTCTCCCAATCCACCAAACAAATCTCCAAATAAATCCTCAAACCGAATCTCCTCCATCGGCCCAAAGTCATCCTCACCTACTTCACCATACCCGCTACTGGGACCCGGTCCAAACCCCCCAACACCAGTATCAGCCTCCTGCTGTCTCCGCCGGTCATAATCCCTCTGCAACGCTTCAAGAAACGCCCTAGCAGCGTCAGAAGCTTCTCTCATATCGTCTCGATGCTGTCCCCCTTGCTCTCCCTGCCGCCACTGTGGATCATGCCGGTGCCGCTGTTGGCCTTGATTCTGTCCCTGTTGCCGTCGCTGTTGATTCTCCTCTTGCTGCTGCTGTTGTTGCTGTTGCCGCCGCCGTTGCTCAGTCCGCAAATTCTCCTCGTAAAAGCGACCCGTACCATAGTATATCCCTCCAGGTAGGCCGCCGACGGGAATGTCCCCACTGCCATAACGTCGCTGCTGACGGCTTCCCCCTCCTCCCCCTCCTCCTCCTCCGCTGCCAGGGCCTTGCTGGCCACGAGGTGTGTTCCGGCCCGAGCTGGCTTCGGAGTATCCGTCGAATACGTAGGCCATTGTAGTTTTGATAGCTCCCTGCCTACGTAGACTTCTTAATCGTGAAAAGTTTTGGGAGATTCAAGAGCTTCTTTTCGGTTGGTTGATGCTACTGTCTGGTCTGGTGTCCAAGTTAAGTTTTGTGGCAGCAGATGTTACGTAGATAGAAGAAAGTCAGCCTATTTATTTGTTTGCTAGTGGTCGCACGAATTAGTGATTCACAGTCTCGAAGTGTTTGAGCATAGCGGTGATGTGGAGGCGTGTTTGATCATTGATTGCTGGAGGCAAGCAGATGTGATTCAGGAATGAAAAGGACACACACGTCACGCGATTGGGGAAGCATTCAACTCGGGTTATGAACTAGCATTTGTTACAAGCACAGCAATTTGCGCCAAACGTCTATGTACTGGCTCCGATATCGTAGCGCATTGCCGCGATAAAATAATACGGACTCTCGTCCCCTGCGCCAAAGGGGGGGGAGGAACCGGCGTTTTATGCCTGTTTACCTGCTTTGATAGGTAAAGCTGGGTATACTAGAAAACATACATTACAGGTATCCAGGATCCATTGAAACGTATGATGGCTCCTAAACAACGCCACGCAGAAAACAATCAAAGAAAAGGGTAATTATGTCGCGGTAGTGTTTGTTTCGTTGCGCAAAGAGACGGGTCCTTGAAACCCTGTTGATGGTCTGACGTTTTGCATTTCCATACCCTGGACATCGACCTTCTGATCCCGGAGAGCACCGAGGCGTTGATCACCACCACTGTACCTCTTCTTGAATTGGTAGTAGGTAGGAGGCCTCGGTCGGCAGAGGACAACGATCCAGTTCTTGAGCATGCTGCCCTGAGTGAAGGCACGGAACCGCTCTGCCTTGATGAACTTATGGGAGTTGATGTACTCCCTTGTTGTTTCGCCTCGCGCCATGAGGAAGATGTGGTAGCCCATGAGAGCAGCAGGGTATAAGAAAGCAATGAAGCCGTAGATGACCATGGCGAAGGGAACGCGGAAGTCGTCGATGGATTTACCAAAAGAAATGTCGGATCGGTGCATGTGTACGAGGATTTGGCCAAGAGAGGCGCCGAGAAGGTAGAGAGAGAGGAACGTTGCCGAGGAGACGAAAGCAAAGAAATATCGGTAGTTGCGTTTTCCGACGCAGTTGTTGAGCCACACGCAGTGGTGATCGTGGGTCTCGATGCAGTTGTCGCAAAGACGGCAGTGATGAGCCCGGGGAGGTCGCCAAATGTTACATGTTCTGCAATGTTTGACCGGAACTTCCATGGCGGCCGTCGCCGACTCTGCTGACTTGATCAGCGTCCAGTCGTTGGTTGGAGGCCCGAGCCGGAGAGGGTCCTCGGTCGAATCTGCAGGTGGGAAGGAATGCAGATTTCGAGGTAGAATCTATGCGCGGTTACTTATACGTCTTTGGAAATCAATAAAAATGACGACTTACGCCTGGGTCCGACAAGGATGCGTGTAGGAAGGAGGAAATGCAAATGTAGAAGACGTATCCGAAAGTAATGGGAATGGCCGGGCTGATGTTGTGCCATATCCAAGGAGCTGAGAAGACGAAGAAGAGGACGGCGGGAATGATGATGAACAAGCCAGTGGCTACATTGACTGGCCTATGCTTGGTGTTCTGGAATCGGCCTCCCAAGCAGAAGACGGTATTGCCTTCAAAGTACTGGAAAACATAGCCAAGGTTGGTCTTGGACTTCTTCAAGTTGTTCTTGTCGGCAGGTCTCGAAGAGTCTACGGGATTGAGCTGCGGTGTCGATGCGGTCGATGAAAGCTTCTCGCCGCCAGGTAAGGTCCGATTAGACTTGTTCTGGTCACTTCTACCAGGCAGCAAAAAGCTCGAGCGGAATGATCGTGGCGATTTGATGGGGCTAGGTTGGTTGCCTCGTTCTCTAAAGCCCCTATCGATATTGACACTCAGGTTTCGGCTATTGCGCTGATTCCGTTGCAGCGGAGTGACGCTCTCGGACATACTACCGGCGGCATAGTGACCATGAGTTGGGCTCGTATTTGCGGTGATTCGATCGTATGTTCCTTGGTCGGTGTATTCGGTGCCGCGAGACGGCGGCGGTCTCATATTGTCGTCGTCGCTGAGCTGCCGCTGGAGACGTGCAACGGGATTCGATACCGGGTTTGAGATGACGCTGTGCCGAGCATTTGGTCCACCACTGGCTACTGCTGCTGCTGCGGCGGCACTCTGGTTGTGTTCAGGCGTAGGTTCGGTATCTTCCAATGTAGGTTGCTGGCGAGTCGCAGGTCGTGAACCACCACGCTGGGCCTGTAACTTCTGCGAACTCATGGGACGAAAGAAGGCTGAAGATGTAAGAGACGGAACGTGGCTTCGGCTTGTCGAGCTGGGCGGTCTGCTGCTGATCGAACCAGCGGTACTGCCGCCCCCGATACTTCCCCTCTTCTCGTTGAGACTTGTGATGTAGTTCATCCGTGGGGGCGGGCCTCGTCTCCGGCCTTCGAGGGGTCCAGACATGCCAGTCTTGGCCGTGCCTGGCCGCGACATAGTTTCTGAAGGCAGACCAGATTTTCTGCGCGGGTGTTCGGATAAGGTCTGGGCAACGGCCTCCCCGCCGTCGTCGGACGCGATATCAGTCATTCGCGACGAGATGATACTCGGCGGGCCTGGTCGGTCGGAGCGTCCAGGAAATTGAGGTTTCGGAAAGCCGCCATCGTCGGTAGGCGTGGTGGGCCCACCGGCCTGTTCTTTTGAGGTCATTTTGTGCGATATTGTCGCAGTCGAATTGGCGGCGCAACGATTTTTAATAGTTTGCAAGGTTCCTCTGCTATAACATATCGCTTTTTGGACGTGGTGATCAAATATTGTGAGGTTGGGGAAGAGCCTCTCGAGAGCGTTCCAGGGGAAGGGTGGTGGTCGGTCTTAAAATCGGCGCTTTGACATGAGGTTGTGATGACTATTGCGCGGGACGAAGGGTTCGGTAGGTTCGGAGAATGGATCGTGGAAGGTTTGGAAAAGGCTGAAGCGCAAAAGTCTGCGGTCGGAATCTGGTATTAAAAAGAGGTCGTGCGAAGGAATAGGAAAAGGCCCGTGTATTGAGGCGAGGGAGTGAATCGGTTGGTATCGTTTGTCGTATTGTATCGTGAAGAGAGAGAGAGACGGAGAAAGGAAGGTTGGGTTGGCGAGCAAGCCATGAATGAGCGAAACGAAGAGACGTCGGACAAGACTCAGACTCTCGTCTTGTGCCTGGTGTTGCTTTTTCGAGACCAGAAAGCGACCAGACCAGGCATGGATTGCCCAACAGTGACGGAGAGGGATTGGTGCACCGCAGCGCAAGTCGGACGGGGGGGGGTTTCTGGGTGCTGGGCTGGATTCGCTACAAGACTTTACCTTACGGATACTGCGACCCAATGTAAGGGGCGTCACAACCTGGGTATCCGTGCTTTGTGCATTTGGAAGGTTGCATATAGCCCTGATTTGGTTTAGATCAGATAGCGCAGGATGTAGCTGCCGTCTGTCATCACTAACATCCTTTGTCGTGTCTCCCTGCTCATTCACGATAGTGCTGACGCTCAAGCCCCCTGCGGAACGGCTTAGGCCGCGTTTTTATGCAGGCGCCGGTGCAACTAGGCCAGGCCAATTTAATTACAATTGCCGGATCTGGGTCCCAGCTTTAAATTGCTACAGCAGCGACAGCCCAACAGCACGCGGCGCCGCAATGGCTGCTGCAGTGCTGGGGTGATGAGATGAGGAGCACGAAGGACCAAGAAGCGTGTCTTCGTTCAGGTACCCGTCGATGCCTTTGCCCTACGGACACCAAGGTCCAAGTAGCATAAAACGCACAGGCCAAGGTTGTTCTAGCCTTTGCTTTGCGACTCTACTTAATACCAATCCAAACTGGCCATGTTTCTCAGCCTCCCGTTCTTCTATGTTCATCGCTGACATATGAGGAATGCTAAACCGTTGTTTTGCTCTTACTTATTTTCTGTGGCTTAAGACGCGTCTCGCCCCTCCTTTGAACGCCGTTGAGCTGCTGCAACGCTGAGGGTTCCCGGAATGATCTCCCTGCTCTGCTAGCTTGGTCCTCGCTCGGAAGACTTTCGTCCGAGCAGCATCGCTGGGGAAATGCTTGGAACACGGCATGAATAGGGCCAATCGTACACAATCCAAGCATGCTCTGCAGTGAATGAGACGTCTTGAATCCGATCCTCGTCCATGAGGTTCACTGCTTTAACACATCGGAGAATACGATTATGCCGCCATCGCCAGCGCCAACACTGTCCTGTCCCTCACATTATGGCTTGTTTGCTCGACATGGGATACCCTGACCAATTCGGGTCTTCTGACAGTTTATGACTATTTTTTGACAACGAACGCACGTGTCTGCGGACGAACTGCGCTCTACAGTCTCCAGCTTCGTGCACACCACCTCGTTGAAACAGTAGATGCTCAAGACAAGGTCGATCAGCTATGTCAACAGACGCTTTAATTTCGATTCCTTCTATTCGATAGTATACCTATCGGCATGTATCACTGATGCATCGTTGCGTCCCTTTTCGGCCATACGAATAAACTCTTCGATGAGGGTAGCGCACCGCACGGGCAGGCTTGAAGCACGCAGGTCTTTGCGAACCTGATTGCTCAAGATAAGCTCTGTATTTTAACAACGATCTCGGGACGATCGCCAACCATTTAAAGATAGCGAAGCAAACTTTCTTGGTCTATGTGAGACTGTCATCTCTACCCATGCGATGTTCATTGTCATCGCAAAGCGTGAGGCCCAGAGACTTGAGAATCAGGTTAAATTGCAGTTGATCATCACGAGCCTTGGTTTGTGTAGCTTCGATCTGGACTGATATACTTCTCCATGGCTCTCATAATTCTGCCCATAGTCACTGCTATAAGGAAAAAAAATCCTGAGAAAATAAGCTGGCTCAAAGTGAGGGCATCTCGATGTTGCGTGTCAAGTAGATATTCGCTGAACAGGACTCTCGCATGCAGTGAGCCGTTAGTCAGATATATGTTTTAGTGCAAT